CCGCCAGTACCGCTACGATATCAAAGAAGCTTCACAGATTGGCGGACGACTTGTTGCAAAATTGAAGTCATGAATGGACGTTGCCGAAGTGGCAACGTTCAGGTCGGGGACAACATGTTCGTAGAAGGTCCAGTCAGGATGATATGGACTCGATGTATCTCTGAACTGGTACTGGAATGGGGAAGCGATTCCGGCAGCGTGTGATACTGGCTCAACTAGGGTTTGTTGGGATGCGTCTAAGAAATCAGACAAACCCCAGGGTGTCTGCGCGATTGAAATTTCGGTTGTGACGTGTGGCGCAGCCCAAGTTTGTGGTAGAACATCATTGACATTGAAGTCAAACCCACATTCGATAGGCATCGATACTTCATCGGACCATAATCGTGGATACAAGCAGAGATCAGTCTCGTGCACCACGGATACGGGCTGATAAGGATGTATCGGGCTTGGTGTTTGCGGTGACATAGTGCCCAGGTTAAGATAGCTGTTTGCACTCACAGACTGAGTGAAGAAATCCGGATCCTGTTCAGAAGTATCTATATAAGCGTAACTGCCGTTGAGGGTTTGCGAATCTCTTGGTGAAAGCGGAGTGAGCATTGGATAGCCAGAAAGCCCTGGGTTTTGACGGCTGGCTTTCGCGGTGGCTTCGGTATCGATGTATGTTGCGGCGTATGAGCCTCGAAATTCTTGAGAATGCAAGCTCGTCGAGGGAATATATGAATCGAGGCGTGATATCACACTGGCCGAGAATTGCCTTTTCGGTGGTCTAGATGGTTTCTTGACGCTTGATCGGTGGTTGCTATCTGAAGTACGGCGAGTGGATCTTGGTTCGCATACGATACCCTTGGTGATGCACCGAGAGCATGAAGGTAGCTATGTAGTGTCAGCGCAGGGACTTGGAATATACAAGATATGCCTTGGTACATACAGCTTTGTTACACTTCGTCTTTGCCTTAGCGCATGTCACGCACGCGATTGCTCTTTTCGATGGCATTCTAGCATATGGGTTGTGCTGAACTGCTTGCGTAGTAAAGTGATCCGACAGGTCTCGTGGAGTATGAATGGTCGTCTCATCCATTGCGATCGTATGTTTGGCTTAACAAGTGATACGAATCAATGCGTGTTGTTCCAAGCTGGCTGTAGAACCACCGTGTCTTGAGAGTCGACTGCAGTCAGGCAATGACCGTTGCATCAGATAATGTCGAGCCTCTCTGGACAAAAGCGAGTGCTTGCTCGAAGTGTTAGGGATTGAGCTGTGATATACTCGTCTATTCCGAGCAGACTTGAGCTTGACCAGAACCGATAGTTCCGTCCAACGGCTGATCATATACGGCATCAAGCTTGCATGATGCTAAGTTTAGGGCCGAGATACATGTCTTCCGTGTAGGGTCCTACATAGCAAGGTATTGTTCTAGCACCGATGAGGCGCCTTCGCAGGGCTGGAAGCCAAGTCAAGGCATCGTGTATGAGCTGACGAAATGCCGCTGCTGAGGATAGTTAGCATGGTACGCCACCATGCCCGTATGCTGAATGCACGTTCATGGTAGAATGCGCCTGAGCGCGTGGATGATGACAAGGGGTGTCCTGCGCGCTGACAGGACCCGCGCTGGTGGAATTCGGTATGTCCATGATGACAGGTCGCACACGAATCGTGGTGTGGCCGAAGCCTCACCAGTGCCATTGCTTGGCTGGTTGCGTACCTCAGTTCGAGCGACATGCAAGTGCGACTTGACGTCTTAAGGTTCCAAGTAGATTTGGTTTGCAGAGACGAGCTCTAGATGTCAGCAGAAGAAGTTTCTGTATACCATTGAATGCTTTCGGTAGAGTATCAAGGATTTCGTTGATGACATGATCATCCAGATACCACGGGGTCTTGATGTGGTCTGCACCCAGAGGGTGGTTCCAGACCGGGTCCGGGTCACCGGTGATGAGGCGCTGTAGTCCCTGGCACAAGGCTATTGTTGTAAATTCATGGTGATGATGTGGACGGACTCTGGGGAGTGGCGTCTGGTGGTGAAGTTAGACAGTGGGACCCCTGTTCCGCAGCTGCCCAGGTGGAAGAGCGGGGCCATGGCGGGCTGACGATGCTTAGTGTCGAAAGTTTCCGCAAGCTACGCTCTTGGGTGGAAGTGCGATATCGGCGACGATGTATGTGTTATACGGGACGTGGGTGCTTCATCCCACAGATGATGGCGGTGGCCGAGAGGTTGGTGGGCATTGCGCCAGACGTCATTTCCGAGCGGCGCACGGTCCGCCGCCAACTATGGCCTTAATCTTGAAAGCCTCCCTCGCCAGGCAGGCCAGAGCCATCGAGAAACAACTTATCCATACACACTCTCAATTGCTAGACTCGCGATCGTATCTGATTGAAATTTACATCGTCGTGAGAGCTCGTAAAGGCTCATGAAGTCAATTTGCGTGGTGCCTGCTCGAGGTCACGAGCTCAAACGCATGTCCGACTGACTTGTACTTAGGTATAGACCCTTCCTTGAAACAAATCATTCCCAGAATCGCACAGTGACCCCTTCGAATCCGCGGCTTTGGTGGCCAGTGCCTCTCCCTCGCTCCATCTTTAGCAAGGCATCGTCAGCGTTGCTGTGCGTAAAGATAAATAGATACGGAACGACCGACATCCGACAATCTATCAAGGCCAGAATACGACCATGAAGTATAGTTACGGATATAGATGTGTTGATAGTAACAACCATCACGAACGACAATTTAACGCAGGTCCGAAACATAGGCCGAGCTTTACTAACGTGGGGCCGTTGTGCGTAAGCAGAGCTTGTGTTTGAGACCTGCTTCGCTTTGGCCATCGACCTCGAGTGTAGTTATATTGAAACGACGAAGCTTGAAATGCGTGCGTCGTGCTAAGGTCTTCTGTTTGGAAGCCTCATCAAACCATCCATAAATCTTCGTGGGCCGTAGTCGCTATCACGTATCAATCGACAGCACCCGTCCCACTAGGTGCACCGCCCCTACCAGGAGACGCTGGCTCTTCCACGGACCCCTATTTTCAGCATACGTACGCTCGCGTCATGGAATGTATTGGAAACAAAGGGAATCGGGCGTATTTTGTGTTGCTGTCCGAAGAGATCCATCATGTGAAAACCAATGTAAGTGGAGTCAGCCTTACTGTCTTGATGGCGAGTTGTTGTCGATCTTCCTGCACGAAAGCTGACTTATTCGTGTGTCAACAGCTGATGCTCTAGGCGGTCGCATGACTGCTGCGGGAATGTGAATATCGTCGCGTTTGTCCTTCTCAACGTACCAAGTAGGAATGCCAACACCAAAACAGAATCTTGACATAGTCATTGTATTGCAGAATATAACATCGTGAAGTACTAGCATACAGTCGATTTTGAACTGTTTCCGAACTGATTCCTCCCTATGGATGTGTAGCCCTGTATTCTTCCGCCTCATAACAGCGGGCAGTCCCATAATGCGCCCGGGCCACCGGCAGTGGACTCGACAATTTCTTGAAGAAATTTATGCTCTAGCGTGAACCATAGAGCCAGTACACACCGCACTGGCATCCTCATCCATCCAAAATAACGCTGCGGACCATATCTCGAGTTCACAGGTACACAAGCAGCGGCATCGTACTCTGCTGCCACGACCTTGATCAGAGCACTATCAAAATCGGTGCCCACTAGCGCCTCAGCGTCAGCCAAGAAGAAGACTCGAAACGGGTTGTCGTCTGCGTTCATCGGCCGGCCTCCAACTCCCTCCACGTACAGCTGTCGAACCTGCTCCAGCGTCAAGCCATCTAACACTGTAGAGTCTGATCGAGCGTCGAGTTTGAATAGAGACCAAGCCTTTGCAGTGCTAGTCGTGTCGTCTTCAGCCCCGTCTTGGCTCTCGAGGTCGAGCTTAGTTTCAGTAGTCATTCGCTGGAGCAATTCGCTCCACCGCTGATCCGATCCAGGGCCGTAGTATGTCCGGTAGATAGTGAAGCCCCAATAAACCATGTCATTCGGAACGTCGACGAAGGGCACGGTCACGGGATGTCCCTTAAGACTGTCTAGAAACTTCTGGACCGATGGTGGCATGGTGGCGGTGAAGGTCGTAGCGTCAGGTAATTTGCGAGTGCAAGCGCGAAAGACGGGTTGGCGATGTGAGACTGAAGCACGTACGATAGTGGGTATACGTGCGACCAGAAAGCTTGCGGGATTCCCGAGGTCTGATCAGGGTAATGTATACCTAGGTATAGCAAACGAGCGCTAGCCTCATCAGGCCGCCACTTGGCATCACAAAACATTTGAACCTGCATACAGACTTACTCCTTTGGCAATGCAGCCGGCGCGGCATCCCAGGATACGTAGATTAACTTGGCAACGAAAACCTTCAACCGACCCACTCCGCCCTGCATGAGAATAAACCCGAGAGCAAGCATCGAGGAGCCGGGAGGGGAACCTCATACATCATGAGGAAGGAACTGTACATGCGAAGTGTTATAAATAAAGGTTGAAACCGTGGTAGGCATGCATATCTGCGTATCAGTGATCCGTGGAGAAAGAGACGCGGGAGGCATGAGCTAGTCCTTCTATGGCTTAGTGCGTTCGCCATATCTGCATCGCACTTGCCGCTTCATCGCGCACGTCATCCGGAATTCTCGATCTGAACCATTTTCGACAGTCGCATTGACTGCATCATTATCTATATCACCACACTCATTTTTGGATACCCTAGAGAAAGTTAGAAATATGGCGCAACGTGAAGACAGCGAACTGTACCCTGCGAAGTTTCTTGCGGAAAGCGCCCATCCGGAGAAGACACCAAATCCTCCCGATCTCCTCATTTTGAATCAACCAATAGCCCATTTCACTGCCTTTTCACGCCTTTGGAAGCACACTGGGTACCGCATTTGTGCCGATGGCGGGGCGAATAGACTTTACGACATGCTGAAAGGTGACTTGATAGCGCAACGCGAACAATACGTGAGTAAGTATGTGATATATAGCGTCAACACAGGTCGCTGACAGGCATAGCTACCCGACATGATTCATGGAGACTTGGACTCGTTACGCGATGATGTGCGTGACTACTACGAAGCACGAGGTGTTCCTGTGCTACGCGATGGTGACCAATACAGCACAGACTTTGGGAAATGCATGAAGAAAATCTCGTCGCGTCTTACTTCCTCAATGGTTCGGGATGTGATAGTCCTTGGTACCCTCGGTGGGAGGGTTGATCAGGGCCTTGGGCTCCTGAACGAGATATACAGAGAAGAGAATCGACATGCCGACCTTCGCCTATGGCTGTTCTCCGAGTGCAGCCTGAGCTTCATACTTCGGAGTAGGGAGACTCTGCTGAGAGGGCTACAGGAAGATGGTGTCTTTACTGAGAATGTAGGGTTTCTTCCCATATACGGACCGGCGATCATCTCTACCGAAGGTCTGGAATGGGATGTCAAGGAGTGGCCTACGCAGATGAACGGCGGTCAGCTCAGTACGAGCAACCACGTCAAAGCCAACGATGTGAGGGTTGGAACGGACGTGCCGATATTGTTCACGATAGAAAGAGCGCCTTTGTGAGAGGTTAGGGAAGTGTCGTGCTAGATATGGACTTGACATACTCGCGACTCATGGGAATTGACACGTAACGGTATCCTCGTGCTACATGTTCCAGCACGCTGTTGTTGTGTAACGTCCATTGGTCTCGCCGATGCTGTCTGCATGGGAGACAGTGGATCAGGGCCATCATGAGGTAAGCGCGTGCGTCGTTGAGCCCATCGTGCTTTCCACGGTTCGAGCAATCGGAAGAAGGTACGGCTTGCGAGGCGACAACATCACATACATCATGAAGATGGGAGACGACTCCGGCCACAGTGGTGAGGGTACCTGTCGAGTCGTGTTGTGCCAGTAACCGTTCGGCTGTGGTGAAAGCATGAGGAGAGTCCGAAGCGCGACGCAGCACAGGCGCAGGTGCAGGCAACCGCTCCTGCCCATCTTCGGAACCGCTCCTGTTGTTTGGTGAACCCTAATGGGGAAGCTGTGATTGGCCGCGTCGTGGGCAACTCGCCTTCACCATCAATGCTACTATCAGACCAGTTCTCCCGCTCAAACAATCACCGCGCTTGCCAGGCCAACATCGCTACTCACTGTCGCTACTACGCGCCTTTTGGAAGTTTATTCACTCGCATACGCAGCTCTTGTCTTCTGCGAGCCTCCCCGCTTTCTGTGTTGCTCACATACAGGTGCCATATCCACCCCGACCCTCCCACGTCCCACCGCGTCAAAGCTCTCCGACCAGCAACTTGCCTCGCGACGTCAGGCACAACACGTTCGCAGACCCTCGTCTCCAGCTACTTCCCACGGTCTCTTTTCAAACTCAAAATATATCTGAGCATTCTGTCGACAAAGCTACTACACGCAGCATCACAATTGGCGTGAGCTGCACGACATAGCGCGCGCTGTGGGGCAAAACGCCGGCGCGAACGCCAATCGGTCGCTAATCGCCATGGCGTCCATACGAAGAGTCGCCTCGTCCACGTCGTCCGAGTACTCGGAATCACCCCAAAAGCGAGACGAGCAGCTCAGGCGATCGTCGTCGTCGAGTTCAACTGTCGAGAGGGAAGCTGCGTCTCCCCGCGACACCAGCACAGAAGGAGCATCCGAGCCAGCAGGGGCAGCCGAAGAGCCGCTGATTGGCCAGCCGAGCGGCAGTCAGAGCCCAGCTTCTGACCATGGCTTCGACTTCGGCATCCCGCCAACGGCAGAGCGCGAATCCTCGCCGTTGCCCTTTGCGCCCATCGTCCCTTCGCCGCTCGCAAACTCCAGATCAGCGAGCGATGGAAGCTCAGACGGGCACGAGCCGCAGTCAAGCGATGATACCCAGTCAACGAAGCATCGGTCGCGCACCACGACAGGCCGTCTTCACTTGCGCATTCCGCCCCGGCCTCACATGAGGACACCAAAAGCGAGGAGTACAACAGACTTGACAGGTCATGGAGCCCGCTCTCCGGGCACCCCACTCACATTACAAGACTTGGGAACCGACTATACCCGCTACTTCAACCCTTTCTCAGATTCCGCCAGTAGTCATAGTCGCAGTCGGAGGACCTCTTTATCAGAACGGCAGTCTTATGCCAGACTGGCCGCCCGCTCGCGCACGACCACTCCGCCGCCTGGCATTCCACCAATCAACCCGTTCCTTACCCCCAATGCGTCTGTGACGGGCCTCAACGATAGCGTCATTGAGCTGTACGATGACAAGAAGAATGTGTCTTTCATCGACGACAGGTTAACGGCGCCGTACGAGGAGAAAGGAATACTGTCCTGGCCACTGGTTTGCGACTTGGAGGAAGCGGACGATGAAATGCACATGCCTCGCGACGACGATGACATCAAGTTTAAACCGAGGATACGCGATCACTTTACAAGAGACAGCATCGTTTCCACTATTGGCCTAGCCTTCATGATATCAGGACTGTTATTCATTTTCATCGGCCTTCCAGTACTCTCTGCGGTAGGCGTCATCGACTATAACTCAGCCTACGGTATGCCACTGAGCATGTTTCCCAATCCCTGGAGGCCTCAGATCTGGGCTATAGTCAACAACAAAAAGTATCCACTCCTGGAGAACATACGGACAGGCTTGATCGACCCCGACACACCTGACTCTGCCAAGACAAGGGCCGGAGAGTTTGGCGATGAGTACGTGCTCGTCTTCAGCGATGAGTTTAATGACAATGGCCGCACGTTCTATGAAGGAGACGACCCTTACTTCTTTGCACCCAACGTCTGGTACGGCGCGACTCAGGACGTTGAATGGTATGATCCAGATGCTGTTACTACCAAAGATGGCACGCTTCAGCTGCGCCTGGAAGAATTCTTCAACCATGGTCTCAAGTTCCGATCCGGTATGCTGAACAGTTGGAACCAGCTGTGCTTCAAGGGCGGTATCTTCGAAGTTTCAGTGTCGCTACCAGGACCAGCTGGTGTACAGGGACTCTGGCCTGGCGCCTGGACAATGGGCAATCTCGGCCGGCCAGGCTATCTCAGTACAACCGACGGGCTGTGGCCCTACACCTACCAAGCTTGCGATGCTGGTATCACGCCTAATCAGTCTAGTCCTGACGGCTTATCTCACCTACCTGGACAACGACTCAACTCATGCACCTGCCCGGGTGAAGACCACCCATCGCCAGGTAGAGGAAGGGGAGCACCAGAAATTGACGTCATCGAGGTGGGTGCCACATCAGGATACCCAGGTCCAGCAGGTCTGCCAATAGCAACACAGAGCTTCCAGGTTGCCCCCTTCGACATCTGGTACCATCCGAATTACAACTTCACGGCGTTCCCAGACCTTCGTTACAGTGGGCTCAACACTTACGCCGGCGGTGCCTTCCAAGAGGCCATCTCTGCCAGCACAATACTAAACAGGGACTGGTTCGACAACAAGCAGTATCAGCGGTACTCTTTTGAATATGCTCCCGGAGAAGGCAAGGACGCATACATCTCCTGGAAGGTTGGTGACCAGACCATGTTCATCATGGACGGCCGTGCTGTAGGACCCAACGGCAACATTCAAGCTCGACAAATCGCAGAAGAACCCCTGTCACTCATTCTCAACCTTGGCATCAGTAACTCCTGGACCTGGATCGACTGGAAGAACCTGGTCTTTCCTGCCACCATGCGATTCGACTACGTGCGGTGGTATCAGAAGAAAGGCGAGGAGATGGTTACGTGCGATCCCCCGGGCTTCGAGACTACAGAATATATCAAGAAGCATCCGAAGGCTTACCAGAACCCTAACTTTACAGTACATAATCCTGTCTTGCTTATCATACAAGCGCACGACTAACGCAAAGCAGTTATGGGATCAAACCGGTTATGACTGGCCGAAGCATAAGCTCAACAGCGATTGTTGACCCGAGACGCCCTCTCACGACAGCGGACACGATCACGATCACGATCACGATTACGATTGACGAGTCACCACGAGCGCGAACGCCCTCAAAAGATCGCTTCGAGCGTCTCCCTCTACGTACATTGCAGCTATACGACCGACTACGATCGTTTACGGAACATGGCACTCGAGCTGTACATTACGTTTCAGGAAACAAACATGTCGCTATTGTACAGATACACACATGAGGGGAAGCGTTTCGGTAGAGGCAACACAAACACACATAGGAAGGAAAGCATTTCGGGCAAGGGCATGAGAGCGGAGGATGGGTCTTGGCCATGTTTAAGCTACATGTGTCGTCTCCTTGCATATGGGGAAGGTTATATCGATTTCGAGCGGCATAATGGCATTTTTGCATTTGTTGGTGTATATGTATAAGTAGCATAGCGTAGCCATAACTTTGGACAAGAACTTGCATGGTTTTAAGCTTATGTGAGATTGTTCATGTGATGTTTTGAAGATGAGTAAAATCTGATATGTACTTCGCTAAGTATATGTACAACTACAGACCACTCCACCTCACCACTACCCTCCTACTCCTCTCCCTCCATACAACTAGCATCCTGACAATCCTTCACATCACAAACCTTGTGAAAGTCCTTATGCGCCTTCGCCCCCTTCCCAATAAGCTTCTTGAACGACATAAACTCGCAACTCGCACCCGGCCCATCCTGGCAATCCGGAATGGGTCTCGGCGCCGAATTCGCAATGAACCTAACATACGTGCCAGGCTCATCGCCATGCACGCCACCCCTCTCACAAATCATCTTCTCCATGCCAACATGACCCAGGAAAGGAATGAGGTCGCTCATCTTCCACGCGCGCGTCCAGTTGATGTGGTCAGTAGGGAATTGTTCCGCGGCGTCTGAGGAACTGTTGAAAAGACCCAAGGCGGTAGCGATAAAAGGCGGGACTTCTCTGTGCGTGAAACCGAGGAAGAAACGCTGTTTATCCGGCCAGCCGTCACCAGGCGTATCATGCTTCTCGATATGCGCAAAGAGCTCAGACTGTGCTTGCAACCACGGGAAACCGAGGTAAGGACTCAGCGGGTTCAGCGGACCGACCATGTACGCGTACTTCAGATCCCACGCGTACTCATACGCCATCCACTCCGAGTCTGTGAAGAGCGCGCAGATGGGGCTGCGCTCGCCCTTGATGGCGGATTCGTAGCCGCACAGCATCTGGAAGCCAACAACATCACTAGGAGTCAGTTTGAAAGGTGTGTAGGGGGAGAGGCGGTGTGCGACGGAAGCGCCGTAGAGGTCGATGACTTTCTTTTGTTGCTTGGACCCGGGTTTCTTGGAGAAGTTCTTGCAGGATTTGTGGGGGATGAGGGATTCCATGCTGCCGTTTGTGTTTTCTGTTATCCGGACTATCTCGATGTCGGAGGCTTGGGGGAAGGCTTTGACGAAGTTGGCGGCCGTGTCGTAGGTTCTGCTCTTTTTGTCCGCGAGGATGCGGGTTGTGTTTGGGACGAGGTGGTGGTAGCGTTGTAGGAGGTGCTTGCCTACTGCTTGTGCATCGACGGCGCCGGAAGGTGTCAATTCCTCCAGTCTATCTTCCAAGATTGGGGACTGCCACTTTTCCATGAAGGATAGTGGGCCGGTCCATCCTTGACGGTGTGTCTCGAGCTTCCACAGGAAAGGCTTGATGTATTCCTCATATTCGTCGTCGTTGGAGTAGATGGCGCCGTGGCGGATGATGTACGATGCGGCCGTGACATTGCAGCCGACGGGAGGTTTGTGCTCGAGACCAAAGCCTGGATAGAGTTAGTATGGGCTATTCCCGTGACATGGGGAGGATGGTACGGACCGACTGCGTCAAAGTATGGCGAGATACCAGGGAGATGCAGCAGGGGATCAAATTGGTAGTTCTGCGAGTGGTCCAGAGGCTGGAGTGGTGATTGAGCTTGACCCTGGCTTTGGAGGAAGGTCGGCAAGGTCAGAGCCGAGGCTGAGCCTGCGAACGCGAGCGCGAGGGACAGCATATTAGACATTAGTCTTGCTATAAAAGCCGTTCTAAGGTATTGTCGCGTCGGGAATATGATTCAGGTCGAATGACCTGGGATGGGGATTTAATTGGGGCATGCGCGCGGTTTTGACTTTCTGTTTTCTCGTGACGTACATGTTTCTGCAAGGTACGCGCTTCACTAGCGCGAGCGCGCCGCCCTGGTAGCGCGTGCCTAGGCCTTGGACGTCGTCACTTTCTTCACTGTTATCTCGCTATCTGGCTGCATGCACGCGGCAATCCGGCACACTGCCCAGTCAATGCAGGCAAGCGGAGATGAATGTGCGGATGGAATGCCAGGCCGCAAACCTCAATGGAGCAAGCACATATCGGAGGTAACGACAGTTTCAATTTTAGATACGAACGTTGATGTGGGAAGCAATACACTGCCAGTAATACGCTCACGTCTGCTACCCAGAGCCATCGCGTTCCTTCCCCTTCATATGGCGTCCGTAAGACGGCGCATGTCATTTAATAACGCGTTGGCAGACGCAAATCCGTCTTCGCTCATCCTCCGGCTCAAGCGTTGCTTGTCGCAAACGCCATGTCGCAATATCCATACGTCTGCGTAGCATACTCACCTGCCTCGGGGACGCTCTTGCGCAAGGTAGGATGTTTCTCACTGGCGAAAGCTTTCTCTTCGCTTGGAGCACGGAGTCTCGACACCGGAACGGTTGCTTATCCTTAGGTGATACATACCGCGTATGGCATGCTCTGCAGGAATGGCAATGGTAAGCATAGGAAGCTTTTGCGGCGTTCATAGTGGATGCTAGCTGCAGCATCGTAGACAGGAATCATGTCCTAAACAATCAGTCGCCCACACAGGGCCTCGCGGTTAGCCTCGTGATGGTGAAAAGCGCTTCGAAAGTAACGCCAAAGATCAATGTCGACTGCAAGTATTTGAACGCTTGCGAGAAGCCTGGGCTCGCGCTTCGTCTCAACGCTTTGATCCGACCACCGAAAGCGGTTTAGGCATTGAAGCAGACGTTGCACCAGTCCCAGGGCGACTCTGCCGAAGAGAGGATTGGGAGTCATACCAATTGACATCTGACAGCTGTAGCTTCCTTGCACGCTGATTGCTACGGTTTGCACCAGCTTTGTCGAGGCGCGGCTGCGCATACGGATTCGGAGTCTTATCCAGACCTTGAGGGGAGTCAATACGTATTCTGTTGGTATTAGGTTGAAGGGTGTAATGAAAAGGCGCATCACCAGTCGTGTCGTCAGCATCGTCGCGAGCTTCGTTGTAGTTCAGGACGAGGCTCTTGATTCGCTGTCGTTCTTCTGTGTCTGCTTGCTGTTTGTTACGCATGGCGACAGCAAAGGTCGAATCTGAAGGGAGGTCAATAGATCGGGTCTGCGTTCTGTTGCCACGCTTGCTGAGCAGGGAGAATTTCATCGTCTGCGAAGGAACTGGAGCCTCCGGAATGGGCACTTCGTTTCCGACGTCTTCAGCATTGACCGGAGCCTCTCGAGCACGGCGCATGGGTAGCGGCACGTCGAACACAGGCTTTCGGTCATGCTTACGCGATTCTGCACTCTCTGACATGAGCTTAGCAAGCTCGCGATCGAACTCAGCATCGGCTTCTGGATCGCGTTCGTCTTCTTGCCGTGTTACCACAATCTGTTCTTCCTCTTCGTCTGAAGATGTCTGCTTCACAGGCTCCTCATCGTCAGATTCATCGTCTTCTTCACCAGATGACTTGTCTCCTTCTCCATCGGGTAGGACGACGTCCTCGTCTTCGGGGCCATCCATCTCGTCGTCTGATGCAGAGAGGTCGTCTTCGTCGGGCTCAACAGGCTTGTCGGCTGAAGATGTTTGGTAGTTCTGTTTGACGGCTTCGGCAAAGGCACGTGAAGCTTCCTCTGGGTTGGTGATGATTTTCCACTGCGGTCTGACGAGATTGAATGCGTCTTGCACGATAAACTCCACGTCCATCGGCAATGCCTCCTTGATGCAGACATAGTACTGCAGATACGTGAGGAAGAAGTCAAGCTTCTTCTTCGCTGCACCTTTGTCGTAGTACATGCCGCAGGTTTCGAGAAGGTTGCAGACGAGACGAATGCGGAAGTAGTCGTCCGGTTGATCCAGCGGATTGTATCCCCCAGGTCGTGCATAGCCACCCTCCCACCCGTAGTTCAGGAGCTTGTATAGAGTGTCGAAAACAAGAGGCGAGTCAACCAATCGGTAGATGTAAAGTTCACCGAGATACTTGACTTCAGAGATCCGGCGTTGGTTGAACTTGAAGTCGTTCAACTCTAGCCCGAATGTGATGGACTCGAGAAGGTCGTCAATGACGGAGATGGCGAAGTCTTGGTGAAATCGGTGGATTGTTCCGAGCATGACGGCTAGCAAGTGGATGTTGCTGTACTTGATCTTCCCCGGTTTTGCAAAGACCTTGTGGAGAAGATTTACTACTTCCTCTTCCTCCCAGTGCATCTTGCGTACCTGCTTGATGGTTTTGTCCAGCGTGCGACGAGTCAGGTCCTGGTACATGATCTTGCGTAGGAAGAGCTCGATAGGCGTCCGCTCTTTCTGTTCGATTGCAGCGCGTTCTGGTGGGTTCACATAGTAGACAGCGTTCTCGATCAACATGCGCTCTTGTTGGCCAATCACCTGAGCGCCCTTCTTTCGCTGAAGAGTTTCGAGGAAGGAATGCATACGAGGAGACGTTTCGGGATTGCGAAGCAGATAGCGTCCGCAGTTTTCCAAGAGGTTGCAGATGATCTCAATGTTCATCCGTGAGAAGTCGTCTAGGCTGACTTTGAGACAGTGGAAGATGACGTGCTCAGGGACGACACCGAACTTGGTCAACTCTGCAAGGTAGCGTACATTCTGCGTTCGCACCTGTCCGAGAAAGTCTTTGGACTTTCGACGCTGCAAGCTTCTGAACTCCTCGTCCAGGTAGGATACCAGTCCCTGGGCCACATCTGGCATGTACTTGCCGAGGGTTGCGATGAGTCTAGAGTACAGGGGGAGTAGATCGGATCGGCCCTTGGGAATCTCCTGCACAGCTTTAATCAGACGGTTGCGCGAGGCCTTGGAGTTCAGGAAGCAGAAATCCATGGCAGTCTGATCGACGGCGTCCTTGGTTGCGAGTTCCGGCAGACGCGCCAATAGGGCATCGACCTGTGCTCCGACGGACTTGTTCGCGATAGCAGTCGATTGGTCTTCTCCATCGGTCGGTTTTGCGTCATTGGCAGTGTCCGGTGTCTCCTTCTCGATGGTCTCGGTCTTTGCCTCGATTTTCTTCCCCACCTGGTCATCACCATCTGCCTTCTTCTTCTTGACTTCCTCTAGCAGAATACCCGGGACGCGGTCCTTCAGGTCGATCAGGTTCTCGTAGAAACGGCGCTCATCCTCGTCTTCCCAGATGCCAGCGCCGTCGCTTTGGCCACGCAGATATTCGCCCGCCTTGATGAGGCCAATAGCACCATCACCCGTGTTTGCGGAGTTGTCCTTCTCTTTCAAGTCTGGCATTTCCACACCCAATGCGTCGGCCAGCACCTGTGCATTTGTCACCAAGCGCTCTTGGGACTTCATCTGCTTCTCGTAGTTGTTCTGACGGTCCTCGAAGACCTCGCCCGACTTGACGTATGCTTCGGCGTTCTTCCGACCCTGACTGAGGATGTGTTTCTGGTCGCGGAGGAGGTGCGTCTTGACGTCTTCAAAGTAGCGGGTGAGAATGTTCCTGAACCGCTGTTGCAAGTCGGGGGAGATGATGGGTGGGTCGTGGTCCTCGTCTTCAGCGCCGGAAGTGTCTCCATTCTTCTCTGCTGTTGTAGTGCCGTCCTCATTGACTGTTTTACGGCCCTCTGCCGAAGGAGGCTTGGACCCCAGAATATCCCAGGCGAAGGCTTTGACGAAGATGACGACGAGGGGCAAGTTGACATGTTCGCGGTCGTGTCCCAGCATGTCCTTCAGCACCTCGAGAGGAAAGGGCTCGGCGTCGGCGCTCTCCGCGCGGGACTTTGCCTTTGCGGCGCCCTCGACGAGCTTGCCATTGTCCTTGGTCTTGCTCGCCTCTTCAGGTCGAGCTACGTCATCCAGGCTGCGCAGAACACCCACAAGCCAGAGTTCGGTAGCGACTCGCAGCAGTACGCGCTGACGTGCCAGGCGCTCCTTCTCCTCGCGCTCGCGCACTTCGGGGGCCAGTGTCTTGAGGTGTGACTTGTCCGGCGTTGCTAAGCCCCTCCCAATATACCAGGCAATGTATCCCGTGAACTCGGTCGGGCCGAAGCGTTGATGGAGAGCGCTGACAATTTCCACACCGGCAGCAATCTCGCCGGGCGTCTTGAGCCTGCACAGGCCCTCGTAGCAGGCTGAGATAATCTCGGAAAGGTATTTGTGGAGAGATAGGGCGCGGATTTCCTGGAGGAACTGCGCTTGGGCGGCGGCGTTTACGGCGGTTCGCAGGCGCTTGATAAAGGCCGTGTTCTTTTTCATAGACGAGTCGAGGGAGCCTTGCACGGCGAAGACGTCTGGACATGTCGTCAGCACGCGGGCTGCAGGTGCAACTATTCTAAGACCAAGTACCTTGTTCGCCATCCCAGGCGCGGATGTTCAGTTCGCGCAATTCGCCTGTACACAATTAGTATAACTCTGTCAACTACATGGCGAGCACGTACGCTTCCGAGGCCGGTCCATGGTGGAGGAGGCGATTGCCGCAGTGGTGGAGGGGCGGCGGTAGATAGCACGGATCGGTTATACGCGCACATGGAAGGTGGGAAATATATCAGGCGCAGGCGCGGCTTGCATTGGTTCGGGCTCGGAGACAAGCTCGGGTGAGAGCGAGGCTGTTTGCGACTGTAGCAATGTCGCGATCGCGGGGCCTTGGGTCGACGTTGCGGGTGAATTTGTGAGCGGTACCTGCAGCGAGTTCGCTCACGTATCCAGGTATCCGTGCGTCACCAAATGTCCCGCGGTTCACATGAGAGAGCCATGACTAAGCAGTCCTGGGTACTCAAACCAGGGTGCTGAGAATGAACACCACTACCTAATTCATACACGAGAATAAACTCGAGTACATATCGTGTATCACATCGAACGGGAACAGTGACAATACATTTCCCAAAAGGCGCTTGAAACAGCTCGACGATGGGGATCAGTCATCACTCAGCGTTCAAGCGAGCAGACTTCCTAATGTAGTCAGGTCCAACACTAAGTACGGCAGGAATAAGTCTCATGCACATTATCGAATCCCATATCACATTCAATGTCACACACACTTAGGCCTTAGGCGAAGACGTCTCATTCTGAGCTTTACCCGACGTTCAGCCCTGTGGCGCATTTGCAGTGCGGGACTGGAAGCTGGGAGCGAAAACGGTTACCTAGCCTCAAACTCTAACAATTCACCCCTGAGGGCCGCCACATGGCGCATTCTTCCACCCTTGACTGGCTGTGATATAGACTAGAGAGTCGAATATTGTAGAGTTCAATTGTAGCTCAGGGGTCCATGACCAAATTCATAGAGACTATGTGCCGCGGCGCTATTGCGGTTGACGGCAAGCGCACTCATCTCAACAGCAGCGATTCATGAGTGACACGGACGTGTAAGATGTATACTATACGAGGGCGAGATCCTGGCCATTCCAGAAGGAAGGCCGAACACGTTGCACGCTGGAGTCGGTGTAAACAGTCAGCAATGCTGTGTGTGCAGGCTGAGCGCACTGGCGATCCGTCACCGTTGGGCCGGCAGCAAACAAGATTGATGAGCATCGTAGCGAGTGCGATCAGCGCCTTGTCATCGCTCGGGGCAGGAAAAGCAGGATCCGAAACTACGGGTCGCCGGTGCGCGCGACTTTATCGATTGCGAGCCGCCCTCAGCCTCTGCCAATGTGGGTAGGCGAGATCTATTCGGGAATCAGGGCAAAGACAGGTCCCCGTGCTGCAACGTCGATGTTGCTATATGCGTTATGACGAGCGGGCGGTCCACCACGCTGTGGAACATGGAAAAAATCATCATTACCGGTACGAGCGGAAGCGGCACAGGTTTCCTCCTGTCAGTCTCCATGCATGTTGGGGCCGCCGTCGCCGTTTCGTGCTTTTTGCAGCGGGTCGGCCTGGCATATCCACAGCCCTCGTATTTTTCATCAGGTATTTCCCTAGCGCTCGCGACTCAACGAAATGCGGGAGGAGAGGGTGCAGCGACTCGGCGTAGCGTCGGATAGGGCATGGGAATAGGGATACGGCGACATGGCTTTCTTTTACGACAGCTACCAGCCATAGCACAGTGTGACAGACAGCCTCTACCGCGAGGCTCTGGGGCCGACACTGGGGATTACGAGACGGCATGAGGCGCGTGGTGCCATAATTGGTCGGAGATGGCTTTAGAACAGCGAGCGATGCCGACCCCTGAACGCCCGGAATCCACGCGAAGCTGGAGGATCTCTTGGCAATAGAAGGCGACCAGCAGCGGTGCATTACAGGCGAATTTCCAAGAGCGACGATGCCACCTCATGCGACGATGGACACGACCGGCGGAATGAGGTACAAGCTACCATGACTACAAAATTACTACACCACTGCATGCCCAGCGTGCAGACCACGGCTCTCGAGGGCCCCAAACACACGGCCCCAAACAGGTAGGATGTGCCTCTGTGTGTGATGAGGATGCGAAACAGAGAGGAACACTTTGCCTGCAAGCTTCAGACAGCTAACGGTAGACGGCGCATGGAGGCGCCCAAAATAACTGCGAGGCTGCAGGCATAGGGCCGCCGGCGCGTGGTTTGGCACGGGTCGGGGCCACTGAGACCAGGCGTAGGCCTGCACGCAACTCGTTTTCGAGCTCCAAGCGCGGGCAGCTTGCCAAATCTAGTTGGAGTGCCCCTGTGACGATCGTGCATCTCGACTGCTGCCCAGAGGATCCAGCACTCTTCGGGTGAAGGCCATGTGGACCGAGCGCGCCCGCTTTTCGTGCTTGTAAACCAGCTCGATCCCCTCGTAGAGACTTCCTTCCTCCTCAAGGCGCTCCTCCCATACCACTCCGGACTGCCCTTGCGAGCGGTATCTTGTTAATGACCTTGGTCTAAGCCCTTCTTGTCCTTCCCACCCTTACACTCGTTTATTGGGCCGCGAAGACTTACCATCCGCTTACACCACTACAACTACTACCGCCAAACACCAATACCTGTATCCTAGTAGTTTTCTCAGCTCTGCGACAGTCCTGGATCAGCAATTCGCCTCTACGTCAATTGTCTAGCCCCGTGCCACTGTTGGGTTACGAGCCTTTGTTACTCAGGGCCCCTCCCATACCTCAGCGACGGGCCGTGCTTCTCCAACTCACCGCGTCTGCGTCACCAATTTGGTCGCCTTACATATAGGGTCGACGGCTGTCCGAAACCCAGACAGCATCGCTCGCTATCCGCTTAACGACAACAACGAATATACATACTTAATACTCCGCCATGGTTTGGCAAGACATGATGGGCCTCGCCGCCCGCGCGGTCTTTGCCCGCGAAATCGACCACTCTACCCCAGACATTGACGACCCTTGGCCAGCTAAGGATGTAAGTACAGCGATTGCCGACTTTGGCTACAGAAACTGACTGCAGTAGATTGCCTACGTTGCCATCATCGGTGGTCTCATGTTGGCTGCCCTGCTTGAGTGGTTCCTCTGGGTCGCTGCTTTCCTGTACTGCATTGTCAAGGTCTTCCAGAAGGCCGAGACGATCAGTGTCCGCATTCTGTCCATCTTCTTCGGTATCCTCTTCTTCGCTCTCCGGTAAGCATTTGAACTCCGCTCCAACATGCGACCCAACTCTAACAGAAACAGTGCCATCTTCTTGCCTATCATGGTCGTAACCCTCCCCCTCCCGTCGCAAGTTACCAAGTACTTCCCCCAGGAGATGGTTGGCTTCCTCCAGTGGTTCGCCTTCTGGTCGTTTGCCGGTCTCTTGACCGTCCCGTGGTTGTTCTGTGTCTACCAGCTCGTCACCCACTCCGTTGGCCGCAGCCGCAGGATTAAATCCGTCCTCGACGAGGCATCCGCCCCCAAGGTCGTCATCATCATGCCCTGCTACAAGGAGATTCCCGAGATTCTTCTCCGAACTTGCGACTCCCTGGTCGACTGCGAATACCCGCCCTCCTGCCTGCACATCTTCCTCTCCTTTGACGGAGACCAGGAGGACGAGCTCTACCTCAACACCATTGAGAAACTCGGTGTCCCGCTCACGCTCGACACCTACCCCAAGTCCATCGATGTCATCTACCGTAGCTGCCGCATTACCATCTCCCGCTTCCCCCACGGTGGTAAGCGTCACTGCCAGAAGAGGACCTTCAAGCTCATCGACAAGATCTACTCCGAGTACCTCAAGCGCAACGATAACCTCTTCGTCCTCTTCATCGACTCCGACTGCATTCTCGACAAGACCTGCATTCAGAACTTCATGTACGAGATGGAACTCAAGCCCGGCAGCAAGAAGAACATGTTGGCTCAGACTGGTGTCATTACCTCCACAACCGAGAAGAACTCGCTCATCACCCTTCTTCAGGACATGGAATACGTTCACGGTCAACTCTTCGAGCGTTCAGTCGAATCCGGCTGCGGTGCCGTCACTTGCTTGCCCGGTGCCCTTACTATGCTTCGATTCTCCGCTTTCCGCAGGATGGCCAAGTACTACTTCGCTGACAAGGCCGAGCAATGCGACGACCTCTTCGACTACGGCAAGTGCCATCTTGGTGAGGACCGTTGGCTCACTCACTTGTTCATGATTGGCGCCAAGGAACGTTACCAGATCCAGATGAACACCGGAGCATTCTGCAAGACCGAAGCTGTGCAAACCTACCAATCTCTGCTCAAGCAACGTCGCCGCTGGTTCTTGGGTTTTATCACCAACGAAGTTTGCATGTTGACTGATATCCGTCTCTGGAAGCGCTACCCGATCCTCCTCATCGTCCGCTTCATGCAGAACACCATCCGAACCACCGCCCTCCTTTTCTTCATCCTGTGTATCTCTTTGATCACTACCTCGCAAAAGGTTGCCAACCTTCCCGTTGGTTTCATCGCCATCTCTCTGGGGCTTAACTGGCTTCTCATGTTGTACTTTGGCGCCAAGCTCGGTCGCTACAAGATCATGCTGTACCCCCTCATGTTCATCGTCAACCCCTTCTTCAACTGGGTCTACATGGTTTACGGGATCTTCACTGCCGGTCAGCGTACATGGGGTGGACCTCGTGCCGATGCTGGTAGCGCCGACACCAAGACCACTCCCCAGGAGGCTATCGAGGCCGCCGAGGCTACTGGTGACGATCTGAACGTTGTTCCCGAGACTTTTAAGGCTGCTGCCGAGGCGCAGAAGCACCGCCCAGCCGCTATTCCCCTCCAGCCCGGCGACAACATCGACGGACGCTTCGCCGCCGCAGAACGCCTGCCCAACGGATGGTACCAGCAAGGCAACGACTCTGGTCTTACGCTTCCCAACACAATGCCCCGCAACCCCAACGTCCCTCACGTACCTCTCCACCCCCGTTCTTCCATGGACTCCTTCGCTTCGCAAGAGACCTCCGCCGCCAACTCCATCTACATGCCCCGTCGTGTCGAGAGTTTCATGGATCCCGAGGATGCGCGTATCTACCACAAGACCCAGCAAACACAAAAGCCTGCCGGAGGAGCCTTCTACGAAGAGCCACGAGGAGGACCCTACGAGGTCGGCCAGGGTGCTAGCAAGGGCATGTACAGCGAATCTGTTGACTCCATCGACGACGACTCGGTATACCAGTCCAAGGGTCCGCAACGACCTGCTCAGATGCGTACCAACAGCGACCTTGCCCACGCCCCAGCCCGCACATCGCCGCTGTCTAACGAGCAGAAGGGCCATGGTCTCGAGTCGCCTAAGCCTTCCTACAGCAGGACCAACAGCTCAGACCAGCGCCAGGGACGCAGCCCTCTTGCTCAGCAATACGTTCACACCGCACCTGGTGAGGATTATGAGCTACAGGCCCCACAGCAAAGCAGCCTGATGCGCGATGTATCACCTGCGCCGCTAGGTCAACCCACGATGCCCGCATCAAACCACGGACGCAGCGACTCAAGCGACTCCAAGAAGCGGAAGCGCCTCAGCAAGCAGCCCCGCAAGTAAACGCCTCTTTCCGCATGATCTAGCATCTTGATCTTTCTTCCATCTTCCGCCTAGAAGGCTGCATCGAACGACATACCAGCATTAACCTTTTCTTTTATCATCAAACTACTTGTGTGCGCATTGGATGTCCCCGGCGTTTTCAGCGAGCACCGCAACACAACGCGAGTGATTCCTTCTTCTCGCAAAAACTCATTTCCTTACTGTACATATATTACATCATTACATGACGGGCGGGGTGTGTGTGGCTTTTGGATAAAAAACTACGCGTTCATGACTCGGTTCGCTCCTTCGGATGGCCTTGGGGTATATATGTTGTAGGAGCTATGTGATGGATCATACAAACATCACCCTTTTTCTTGCTTAATGTCTAGAAGTAACGTCGCTGTCTGGGACGTTGAATGAAATGGTCTTTACTGCCACACTTGATCTTACTTGCGATGTGATGTTATTGTCAATTTGCAATAGAAGGTTTCGGCTTGATATTGGCTTACACATTTGACCGCCTGGTAAACCAAATATATTGCTAATATCGCATGCAAGGTCAGCATAACCCATGCGTTACTAGTTGAAAGCATACCAGTAATTGACCAATTTCGCTACTTCAGCCTCTATCTTAATGCTATCCGTTGTTCATGGCTTCTCATAACCAGCTTTCACATGCGATGATCCCCCATCCTGACATATCCCAACACACGCACGATATCACTCCTTCTTCGAGTGACTCTTCGCAAACAATTCCGGATGATCAATCGCATACTGCGCGCCCGCCGCCCAATGATACAGCTTCGCCGCAATAACATACCCCTCCCTGGCAAACTCCTCCAACCTATCATACAACTCACTAATCGGAATATTAACCCTCTGAATATCCTCCCCCTCATCAAGATGCTGTTCCGGCTCCGGATCCCCCTCATTAAGATGAATTTCCACCATGCACAAACACAGATTCGCACTCGTCATGCCCGGGTCCGCCGCTACAGCCGGCGACGTGCTGATGACTTTGCCTTTGTAGCCTGTTTCCTCGTAGAGTTCACGGACAGCGGCTTCCTCTGGGGTTTCAGACGCGTCGATGAGGCCGGCGGGCCATTCGACGGTGAAGCCGCTGACGGGCGGCCTGAATTGGATGACGACGATTGTGGAGGGGGGTTTGGAGGGGTGGTAGATGATGTTTCCCATTGCGACGGCGTCGACGCCGGCGGTGCCGGTTGTTTTCCTCGACGCGATTTCCCAGATGCGTTCTTTGCCTTTGGCGTCGATGTAGGTGGCTTTTTGTAACTTGACCCATTTGGCGTCTGAGGAGGGGAGGTCGACTAGGGAGGTTACTTTGGGGGTGCCGGTTGAAGACGCCATTGTGACGGCGTTTACGCGGTCGACGAGCGGTGAGGTGAAGATGGGGCTTGTGCTGTGGAACAGTTTTCTGGGGATGATGGTGGCTGGTCGACGTGATAATGCTCGTCTCGTGAGGGTTGTGAACATTGGCCTGGCTGCGATGTCGGGGGTTTGGAGGTTGGGGTGCCGATGACGTTATCTATGTGGAGGAAAGAGGTACCCCGAGATGCCCGATGCAGAGAGAAATCACAAACCCGATGATTATATATCTCTTGTACCTGGAGTAGTCAAACTCAGCGTCTGGAATAGCTGTATGCAATCGTCGTATCTTGTAATGCCAATTGAAGTAGTAAATGAGAGACCCCACTCTGTTTAGCGTCAGGAACGGCATTTCACGTAACGTCATCCAAAATGCATCCAAGCCGCTGATAAGCATCACTTGTCAAGACTGTCATTAACCCCGAGTTTATTTTCCGTCACGATTTAGTCCTGCTTCGTGTTGTTTTCCTGGTCGTTGTCGTTGCTGGAGCACGTTGTGTAGATTTTCATCATTAATTCCCGAGGTCTTCCCCAAATACACCATGACTTCATTGCGCGCCCTTTCTCGATCACCTCTCCAATTCAAACCAACCATATCAAGATCAAGAAACTTCTCTTCAAGCACATCCCTCAATGCAGACTTCACCCACGCCGTCATAGGCGGCGGCGTAATCGGCCTAGCCATAGCCCGCAAACTCCAACAACGCGACTCCGCCTCCACTGTCCTAATAGAAAAGCACGGCCACGTCGGCACAGAAACAAGTTCGCGAAACAGCGAAGTCATACACGCAGGCCTCTACTACGGACCCACATCTCTCAAGACCAAACTCTGTCTACAAGGAAAGGACATGTTATACTCGCTATGCAAACAACACGACATCCCGCACCGCAACACAGGAAAATGGATCGTCGCCCAAGACGCCGCACAAATGGACGCATTACAAAAGGTCCACGACTTCGCCAAAAGCATAAACGTACCCATCCACTTCCTCAGCAAAGACGAAGCCCACCGCCGCGAACCAGATGTCCGAGCCGAAGCCGGCGTCTTGGAAAGCCCCAGCACCGGCATCGTAGATTCGCACAGCTTGATGCAATACCTGCAAGGCGATTTCGAAAACACCGGTGGAATCTGCGCCTTCAAATCAACAGTCACATCCATCACCCCCCTCGATTCCGGGCGCAGTGGGTGGGAAATAACAACGACGGGAGCGGATGGCGAGGAAAGCAGCATAACAGCCGACACGTTGGTAAACTCCGCGGGTCTCTTCGCCGTCGACATCCAAAACATGATTTTGCCTAAAGAACGGCACAGAAAAGCTTTCTACGCAAAAGGATCCTACTTCTCCTACGCCGTCTCGCGGCCTAAACCGTCCACACTCGTCTACCCCGCCCCAGTCCCCGGTCACGGCGGTCTAGGAACCCATCTCACGCTCGACATGGCCGGCCGGATTCGTTTCGGCCCTGACGTCGAGTGGACAGACTCACCCACTGACTACACCCCCAACACCAAAAACGTGAAGCAAGCCATCGATGATATCCAGACGTATCTCCCCGGTGTGGATAGAAATGCTATTCAACCAGATTACGTAGGGATACGACCTAAATTGGGAAAATTGGCGGCGACGAGCGGGAAGGATTTCCAGGATTTTGTGATATGTAAGGAGGAGGGATACGAGGGGTTTGTGAATCTGTTGGCAATGGAATCTCCGGGACTGACTAGTAGTTTGGCTGTTGCGGAGGAGGTGGAGGGGTTGTTGTATGGGTAGGGGGGGTTGGAGAGGTTGTGTACGAGATGGTGCATGAGTATATTTTTCGGTTGAGTGTTTGTTGTCTCACAGAGTACCATGTCGCCAATTTGAAGCATTCGAATAGCTTCAATATCATGTTCCAAAATCTCATTGCTGATTAACCAGCTCTAAACAATACCCACAATATCTATATACATCCCCACCCTCAATCAAATACCCCTACCCCGCCTTCTCATCATCAATCTGCCTCCTCAAATCCTCCAACACCCCCTTCCTACTCTCCAAATGCCCCTGCAGCCCCTCAACCTGTTCCCTCACCGTCTCAATCTCCTCTCTAATGCCGCCCAACCCCTTAACCGCACCCCCCTCATCATTATCCAACTCCTTGAGCACATTCCTCTTATAGTCAAGCAGAAGCTCCAACTCGCGCTTCACAAGCGCCGGCTTACTATCCTTACTGCGCCCATGCCGCCGATTCTCCGCCTCCTTCTCCACATCCGCAATCTTCTGTTCCAGCTCGCGCAACTGCTTTTTCAAGCGCACTTCCTCCCAGTCTTCTGTTGTGCGGCCCCCGAAATCTGTGCCTTTGCCGCCGCGCGCGCCGTAGTTGGCTGCGCGGTCGCCGACGCCCAGGCGCGTGAGGTATGCGTCGCCGAATTTGGCTTTGCGGCCTGTGGCGGTGTTTTCGTCACGTGTCGCGGCCCAGCGCGAGTTTGCGTTTGATTCAATGTCGTAGTCTATGTGCGCTTTTTCGAAACTGGCGCGCAGGCTCGGGGGTACGCTGCGGGGGACGCGGAAGCCTTCGCTGCGTTGGTTGAGGATGTGGAGGAAAGCGAGGGAGGCGTCTTTGCCGACGCTTTCTCGCGCTTTGGGGTTGACGAGGTTCCAGGCGAAGCGCACGTCTGAGTCGGGCACGTTGTCTAGGCTGTCGAAGAGGCCGGACAGGCTGTCGAAGGTTATGTTGCCGTGGCCGTCGCGGTTGGCTGTGTATATTTCTTCGTATTTCGCTTTGTCAGAGGGCGACATGTACCAGTCGAAGCCGTCGCGCAGGCCGGGCGTGTCGTCATCGTCTTCGACGGTTTCGTAGGCGGGTTGCGAGCCGGAGAGGGCGCGGCCGGCTTGGACGAGGTGGGCTTTCGATTCGGGGACGAGCCAGTCGGGCAGCGCTTTTGGTACATCCATGGATATCTACGGAATGTTGGTCAGTCCTGTGTCTCCTTCATCGCCCATGCAGACAGACGTACCCCGTTGATCAGGTCAAAGATCAGTCGCATGGCGACACAGAACTCCTCAAAGTCGAGCTTGCCGTCATTGTCCACATCGGCCAGATCCCACACTCTCTCCAGCTGGTCATCGCGCAAATGTGAGTTCTTGAGCACGGGTGCGGCTTGCGCGCCGTCGAGGTGGGTGCCGCCGCCGCTGAGCGAACTGAATATCTCCCAGTACTTTTCGATTTCGTCTTGCTCGATGCGGTTCGGCGCCATGTTTGCGGTCGGAATTGGCTTGTCTATATCGGTTCGGAGAGGCGAAGAAGGGGAGGGTCGTGTACGTCGTGTGAGATTCGGGGGTGCTGGTTGGGGAATGTCGGGATGGCGGAGCTCTGGCCGCGCCTGCTGGGCTGGGGTACGTAGCTACCTGACGCTAGTCGTGCATCCACCGCCTGCCACTCCCATGCCTCACATGAATGCATTCAACATCACTGCAAAGGCAAAAGAACAAGCTTCATGTTATGATCTTCAATTCAGCTAGATATATGCAACAACTCCGTATTACCACCACTTCAAAAGAGCGATGTAAGTACAACCCAGATTTCCAGACACCCGAGTTTTCCCATTTAGTCCTGCGCCAGATGCAAAAGATACATGTGTCTCCAAAGGAAAGACGAAATGGCGTTACTGCCGTGCAGACATGTACAAACAACACCGCTAAATGCAATCAATTCTCAATCTTCTCCTTCTTACATCATGTTGGCAAGCTCGTGGTCAATGGCTTGCGTGAGGAAGATCTTCCTCTCGCCAGTGAGCTGCATTTGTAGTCTTTGTTCAGCAAGTGCGATGATTTGCTTGCGCGTGACCTTGTCCAGGTCCGCGTCCTTGAGGCAGGCTTGAACCGTCTCGATGATTTGGCCATCGGTTGGGCCGTTCATCATGCTCTGGAAGTTGGTTGTGCTGCCAGGCCGTGACATGCTGGCGCCATAGCTGAGAGGGCTGCGTCCACGGATCGGTGGTGTGGACGAGGCCATCAGGTTGTCTGAGCTCTGGAAGCCACCCATGCTCTGGCGTTGACCGTACGGTGAAGTGTTGTTGCCATTGTACATGTCGCTCATGTTGCTCATCGACATGACGCGACTTTGGTGTGGGTTGTCTTGGTACCGCGACATGTTCGAGTATGTCGATTGACGGGTTTGCATACCTTGGTATGGCCCAGGCGATTGCGGCGGCATGTGCGAAATGTGCTGCATGTTGGACATGACGGTCGAGGCAGGCTTGACAGACGAGTAGACGGATTGCATGTCGTTCATCTCGTATGCTTCGTCTTCGTACGCATTAAAGCCACCCTTCTCAGTGGCCATGCCTGGGAGACCGCGACGACCGGGAAGCTCATTGCGCTCGGCGTACTCGTCCCAGCGCATCATAGGAATCGACTTGGGGTCAAAGCCCTCATCATCCGTGGTGAGAACCTGCTTCGTGCCTTGCTCGCCGATGACGACACGCGTGTTACCCCACGAGAAGTCGTCCATGTACCAGAAAGAATACATCGGAAGTGCGAGTGAGTAGATAGGGAAGGCCAGGAGGTAGATGATCATCCATCCCACATGCTGCCATTGTCGCTTGATGATGAAGATGAACGCCTGAAGACCGTACACTGCCGCCAACATGATGATGGAGAACATGGGGAATTGACCTTTGCCAGTCGAGACGGTGTAGACGAGGTATACCAGGTATGCGCAGATGGATGGCAGGACGAGAGTACCGAAGAGATCGATGAAAACGACGAATCGCATCGAGAAACAACAGAAACCACAGAGATCCTTCAGGAAGACGAGTTCGGCCAAGTTGTGGATGGTTGAGTTGATCCATCGACGTCTCTGAGAGAGCAGAATGCTCCACGTGTCGGGGGCGGCTGTGAGAGCGTACGCATCGGGAATGAACTTGTACGACATGGCGGGGAAATGCTTCGTCATCAGAGTCGTCAGGTAACGATCCTCGCCGAGCGAGAGGAGATTCTTCTTGTGAAGAGTGTCAACAACACAGTCGGCGTAGTCCTTGATAATCTTGTCCGAGATGATGAGAGGCTTGCCCTTGTCGGCTGTGCGTAGGCGGTACATGGTGAAACTAGTACGAATTAGCACCATATAATGCAGGTAGGGTTGGGTACTTACCATCCGGGCAAACAGGTAACACTGCCGAACAAACTCTCAAAGGCCTTGGACAGATGATGCGAAATGTAGTACTCGTAGACCTGGATCATAGTCCACCATGACCTGTCTTCGTTTTCCAAGCTCGTCTCACCGCAGATACCGGCAATCTTCGAGTCGTGGGCACACGCTGCTACGAGACGGTTAAGAGCATCGGGCTTGACCATGGTGTCGGCGTCGATCATAAGCAAATACTCGTATAGTTCCGGGTCAACACCAATGATGTTGTTGACCTGGTGAAACATTTCCAGCTCCAAGGGGTTCATGGCCGAGCGGTGGTGGACGCGGTTGAGGAAGCTCATGAGCAGAATTTGGGAGTCGCGCTTTCCTCGGTTACCTGGCTTAGACTTGTGCTGTTCCGACTCCTTACCCATCTTGACGACGACAAGGTATGGTACAACATTGCCTTCGAATTCGTACAGACCAGAATAGACCTTTCCGTAGTTGAGCTGCTGGCTTCCCTCGCCGACCGACCAGAATGGAAGGGCAGGAGGGTCGACCTTGGGGTCAACACCGAGGATGTCGAGTACAATCTTGGGCGTAGGACGATCGTTACCACCACCAACAATCATTCCGTCGCAAATGACACAGATGAGTTTTCGCTTATTGTCGTATGAGAGGGCAGTCAAAGAGTCCAAACTCTTTCGGATCGAATCCTCACCCTCCGTATAGGCTGGCACCTGACAGATGACAAACTTATCTTGGTTTGCCGGGCGTTTGCGAGAGCCTAGTTGAAGTGCAGCCAAGAACTTGATGACAATAACCGAGCAGAGGATGATCGTGACAGCGAGTAGGATATAGTCGTTGACCTGGCACTTGGCTGTCTTACGGAAGTCGACTTCGCCAACGTAGAACAAGTTGTCAAGACATTGCTTGTTGAATTGTTGCGCATTATTGTTGAGGTTGTTGCTGAAGTCCTCCTTGAGGTTGGAACCGGCGTTGCTCTTTACCATGTCAATCAGCTTAGCATCGAGGAAGTTGTATTGGTCCTGGTCCCGCATGTAGTCGATCGTGGCGAAGTAGTCAGTCAAGTCGTAAACCCTGTTGTCAAGCCTGAACCACATGTGATTCAGATCTTCACCTTCATCTTTGATCGTCTTCTCCTCCCAGACGAGGGGTCCCTTTTTGAATTCCTTCATAGCCGGGAGAAAGACGTCAGGGTACCAGGTCTCGCTCTTCAGAGCGGCGCTGTCTGGCATGTTTGTCCTTGAGCCAGATCCATGGACAGCGATTGCGTTGAGATTCTCAGCGGTGGATTGGTTGAATGTGAGCTGCAACACCCGGTTTTGAGGCGTGTCTTTGATCAGATTGGGGCAAGCGATGTATAGCGGAGGAACGACGTATGGATCCATGTTGGCACCAGCCATTTCCATCATTCGATCCCGGGTAGCCTCGGTGTTAGAGTCACTGTGCTGCTTTTTCCAGAAGGAGGTTAAGTCGTATACGACACCACGATGGCTGACAAAGTAGTCGTCCTCGCCTTGATGCTGTGACACTTCTTTCTGATTCCAGACCTTGTCCTTGTTTGGGCACAAGAGTTTACCGAAAGCGACAATGTAGAAGACGATGGCGGCGTTGAGCAACACGATGAGTAGGACCAAGACGAACTTCTCTCGCCATGCCATGCGAACATCAGGTCGCTTCATACGGCCAATCCACTTGAGGAGCGGTGAAGGGATCCAGAACGTGAGGGCCCAAACGAAGCCAACCCACATCCTACGAGTACCAGTGAGCGGGGTTTCCGTGACGACGGCGTTGCCACCAGACTCCATGTCGTAGTAACTAACACCTTTGTTCTCGTCGCCCTTGCCTCCTAGGCCGTAATCGCCAGGTCCCGCTGTGGGGAGGGTGCGCGTAGTAGGGGCGATTGATTTTGCATCTGCTGCACCTGGCACGGCCAGACTTGTGGAACTCTGGAAAGGGTTCTGAGGGGCCGCAGACATATCCGGAAGAGGCGGGAAGAATGCGCTTGCTGTAGGCGGGAGCGGGGTGGAGTATCCGTTATCCATGCCACCAGCTCCCATCATGCCACCCATCATATTCGGAGAACCACCCATCTCGTGCGTCTTCAGGTCGAGCTGCGACTCTGCCTCCCACCATGTGCCCTCCTTGACCCATACACGTTCTTTGCCGACCATGACTTCGCCGTTACTCCAGCCGCGCTGCAAGGTCCAGTTTTGGATGCCTTCTTGACCGTCCATGCAGCCCAACGGAGCGTATCGGTCGTAGAATTCATGGTGATCGAAATCGGCAGTGAAGTCGAGGTTGCGGTTACGACGGTTGGCCCACTCGGGCAGTCGCCACTCGCGAAGTTGTCGAGAGACTACACCAGCCTGCCAGGTGGAATTGAGGTCCTGGTTCAGCGAGGTGGGGATGACATCGGTGGGGTGGATTGCCAGTTGGAACCAGACTCTGCTACTGGCTACTGTCATGGCCAGGTCGAAACGGCCATACTTGCCCAGAACGATGCCGCTGCTGGGTACCGGGTTCAGGACCTTCTTCACAAAATTGTCCTCATCGGGTATCTCAAGAGCGAGCTTTTCCAACACAGCCTCGCGCTTTTCTAGGTCAGCTTCCTTCTCGCGAAGAGCGGCCCCGTTGATGCCGAGGTCTGCTGCGCAGCTCTGCATGGCCTCGCGCATGCCCTCAAGGACAGAATTGCTGACAGGCGGCACCTGAACACCATCATCGCGCATCTCGGCGTTGATGCCCTCGCTGTCGTCGAAGACAGTACGCAGCGCAATCGCTTTTCCCAGAGTACGGCTGGGGATTTCGACAACAGTAATGTTGACAATGTCTCCATCCTCCGATTCGTTGGGTGTCATCATACCGCTGCCCTCACTGTCGTCCATGGCATAGCCAGCCTTGGCGCGTTGGATGTCCTCCTTGATTGAGTTGTTGGCGTGGGAGATGACGAAGTCGACGATGGCTTCGTAGATACCACCGATGGCGACCTCGCGCTCGTTGGAGCCGAGCTTCTGGCGGAGAGTGTCTTCAGGCAGGTCCAAGAGGTTCTCTACATCTTCGCACACGGAAGCGAGAGATTCTTCATCCATGAAGTAGTCGAGTGTGTTGCCGAGCTTCAACAGCCCAGTCAGACAACTGATAAGTCTGGTCAGCTTTTGGCCCTTGATGCCAATCGCCTTGAGGTTGGCGCGGAAGTCTTCGGCAGCAGCGGCATCGTCAGCATCGGGAAGGTAACTGGGAGGGTCGTATGTTCCGGATCGTCGGAGAAGGGCGTAGTGATCGAGAGACTGGATGTCCAAGTACTCCCTCTCTTGCCTGGAAGCAGAACTTGAGTTGAGGTAGTAGAAGACATCGAAAGCGCGTGTGCCACTCTTGCCAGGGACTTGGAGCAAGCCGCGCTGGACGTCCAGGCCGGAGGTAGATAACTTGATCTCAGCTCCGACGACACCGCCAGCAAGGTTGATGGTGAAGACGGCAGCCAGGGCCGAGTAGCGGGGGGTGGAGGGGTTCTCCGGAGTTACGCAGTGTGTAAAGGCCTTGAGGGCTTCGAGTGCAGTGTAGAAGTTGCCCGGGAGGGACAGAGGCAGGCTGGAGACGAAGGGCGAGAAGAGCGAGGGGCTCGAGTCGTGCAGCGAACTGCGCGGGTCAGTGAATGATGGTGGATGCAGGGACGTTGGATACATACGCAAGGACTATGCAGCCGTCCTCAGCTCTCCGGCGGGCATGTTCCCATGCCTTTCGCCCCAGCTCGAGGTCGACGGTGCCACCAATGCGGTCGTCGATGATGCTCTTGGCATTGACCCATGTGTTGACGACCAGACTGGTGCTGGCCTCGAGGTTGTACGAGCGGCCGTTCTTGTAGGCGGAATTGAGCGTGTTAAGCAGCGTCGTGGTGGATGTCTGCGAGGGCGAATTGCCTGGGCGCGATGCCGAGGCGGACGCCGTCGAGTAGACGGACATGCGGGAGTTGTTGACGAAACTCATGGTTGCGGGCTGAGGCGGGTCGCCCCTTCCGTGGATGCGAGTACCGTTACAATAGCGAGGGTAGGTGGAGGGTAACCGCGTGTTGACTGCAGCTGTCTTGTCTTCCCAGAGGTAAGTGTCTGGGCGAGAGCGGTACGGGTCGCGTGTAGATGCAACTATTACACGGCGACGGAGCAAAGGGCCAAGCGAGTGGACGGATTAAACGATTGTATGGAGAAGAACAAAATGCAGACAGCAAGAGAGGCCTCGTGGAACGCAGACCGAGCAGCAGTGATGTTTGTTGGCTCAGGGCGAGACGCATTCCCGGCCAGCTGCATGGGGCATGGCGGCGTATGGTTAGACAGGGTTAGCAGCGTGACTAAGGCCGGGGCGAGGCAGCTCAATGCATCAACACCAGCCGGACATGGATGGCGAGTCTTGGTTTTCGTGGCCACTACCAGCTGCGGCACCGTCCCATGGGCCTGTGATACGAGCGGGTGGCGTGGATGCGATGCCAGCCCCTATTTTTAGCCCGGTTTACTCATGTAGTCGATATTTCCTGGCACCATATGGTGTGAACAAGCAATAGTCGGAGAATTCCTCACTCCATGACGGCCATCGCCATCTAATCGATAAGAGCAAAATCGACGGCGCATCTGTGTCTGCGGAGATGGCGCCCGACGTCTGAAGCTTGTAACATGGCGCGCACTGCAGGCACATCCCAATATCCACCTCACGCCCTTTCATCTAGCTCTCATTTGTCTTTGGCTCCATGGTTTCAACACGACCGAATCACGCCGGGACAATTTCAGATCTCGACCTGACGTCAAAGCGCGCCCCTCGTTGGGACCGACAAAATCAATCCTTGTTTCTCCATCGCGGGCGCTACCCAAGGGTCTACTTTATCGTGAAGTCACGTACACAGCCTCCCGCTGTCTAGAGCAGTGGGCCTCCACGCCGGCTGGCCCAACGTCTTCGGGCGAGCAAAAGAAACGTCGGCTGACGGCTGTCGAGCGACAAAAAAATTATCGAGAGCAGTTGGCGGCATGGGCATGCTCCGTCGCCGCGCAATCGATACGGTTTCGACGGTTAGTGCATTGAAGCGTGCAGCGATGATCGTTCCCGGGGGGCGCGCGACCGCTAGCACGCATGTCTGGTAGTGGTTCTCTGCCATGCGTCTCCGGGTCCCAGATGCACGTCTTCGCCTGGAGAAACAGGTGCAACGTGAGGGCAGTATCGTGCAGACGTGCTTCTCGGGGTCACGCCGTGTCGTGGTGCCATCCGACGTGCTGCGATGTTCACCATCTCTCACGACCTTTTCGTCGCATCAATAAGCAGGCGAGTGGAGCCGCAACGGGGATGCGAGGCAATAGGGCTGTTCAGCGTATTCTATTCTATTTTTGCGCCCCCTTTTCGTGATCGCTGGGTCTCCCAGTCAACACACGCCAAAAGGCGGCTGGTGCGGCGGCGGGCGAAGCTGAGCTAGAAGCATCGTAGCCCCATGCTCTCCAGCGCTCCGTCTGGTCCAGAGTAGAGTTAGACAGCATACCGTGCCGGCCCCTTTGCAACGCAACTCAACGGCTTTGGCTTTGGCATCCTTTACCTTCGTTTGTACACCCTTTCCACATTCGCTGATTGTAATTATTCCCGCCGCGTGTTTTTCTTGTTCCGCCAGTCCTGCCAGCAGCCCTGCGGACGCAACACCAACAACATTGAAGAGTCTCCACGACGCGCAGTTGCCATCCGACCGCCGACCGCGCCTGCCTGACCCCTCGGTCTCTCACTCGCTCCCACGGGGACGCGGCTGCCCACCATGGCTTCCAACCCGCTGCAGAACCCCTCGCTGCCCTCGCTGCCCCAGCACCAGCAGAACGACACGGGCTTGACTTCGGCCCTCGCCAGCCGGTACCACGCACACCTCCCCATTGCGGCCCTCTCCTCCCAGGGCATTGTCGCCATCAACACATGCACAGACGCGAGTCTCGGTGTAGATGGTGGTAAAGAGGGAAGCGCCCATCAGGCCGCCGAGGACCTCTCGCACAGGGCCTACACGCGCCTGGGACACCGCTCCGAGGACCAAGCCATTGTCTTCCTGTGAGTACCCCAACTGCATCTCTCTGACATCGCTAACATGTTCCAGTGGCGAGTCTGGCTCCGGAAAGACGACCATCCGCGGACACATGCTGAGGTCCTTCATGTCCTTCTCCCAGACACCGCTCTCCAAGAAGATTGAACATGCCAACTTTGTCTTCGATGCCTTCACCACAACCAAGTCCCTCACGACCCCGCAAGCCTCCAAATCTGGTCTCTTATTAGAGCTCCAGTATAATACCACCACCGCGAACAACGCCACCCTGCTTGGCGCCCAATTCCTCGCCCACCGCCTCGAGCGCAGCCGCATCGCTTCCGTGCCGACAGGAGAGCGCACCTACCATGTTCTCTACTATCTTCTCGCTGGCACCAGTGTCAACGAGAAGAAGCACCTGTTCCTCGACGCAGTAGGTGGAGAGGGTGCAGGCAACCGCACCTCGCTCGGCTCCAACAAGAGATGGCGCTATCTCGGACACCCCACACAGCTCAAGGTCGGCATTGATGACTCCAAGGGCTTTGCCGATTTCAAGGCCGCCCTCCGGAGGCTAGAATTCGGCAAAGAGAGCATTGCAGGCATCTGCGAGATCATGGCTACCATCATGCACATTGGTCAGCTTGAGTTCGAGATGGGCCAAAACACAACTCCTGCGCCTGATGAGAGCGGTGGATACTCTCACGAAGGTGGAGAGTCCATTACGGTTGTCAAGAACCAGGAGTCCCTAGTACCCATTGCCCAGTTCCTGGGCGTTGCCATATCCGATCTGGAGCAGAGCTTACGGTACAAGTCCAAGACTCTATACCGCGAGCGCGTTACCGTCATGTTGGACCCCAAGGGTGCCCGAGCCAATGCAGATGAGCTTGCCCGTTCTCTGTACTCGCTCCTCGTCACTTGGGTCATGGAGCAGATGAACTCAAGGATCTCAATGCCATCCGAGCAAATCTCAAACACTGTTTCCATGGTCGACTTCCCAGGTTTCGCCAACTTCGCCGCCACTGGATCATCACTGGACCAGCTCCTCAATAACACTGCCAACGAGTCCCTCATCTCGTTCTGCCAAGAGAGCTTTTTCCAACGGCAAATCCAAGAGCTGGAAGCCGAGGAGATATCTCTGCCGCCCATGGCCTTCTACGACAACACAGCCGTCAAGACCGGCCTTATGAAGCCCGGCAACGGTCTTCTGAGCATCCTAGACGACCAGATGCGCCGTGGCAAGACTGACATGCAGTTCCTCGAGGCCATTCGCAAGCGTTTCGACGGCAAGCACCAGGCCATTGTTCCTGGAAGCTTGACAGTCGTGCAACCCGGCAGCAACTTCCCCACCCCCAACACTTCGCCCACCTTTACCATTCGCCACTTCACTGGTGACATCGACTACAGTGTAGAGGGTCTTCTGGAGGAAAACGCTGAGCTCATCTCTGGCGACATGATGCACCTGCTCAAGTCCGCCCAGGCTCCCTTCGTTCAACAGCTCTTTGGACAAGAGGCTCTTCAGAAGATGACGCACCCCAAGGAGAAGTCAGCCATCGTCCAGGCTACTGTCAGCTCCAAACCTACACGCCAGCCCAGCATGGCGAAGCGGAAGGCCGACAAGACTGGTCGATTCGGACGTCAATTGAACGTATTCGACGAGGATGCCATTAGTGATGCAGAGAGCAACATCTCGGGCACGAAGAAGCCCGGTGAAGCTCAGAAGCAGACTGGTGCCGCAGGCCAATTCATCAGCTCATTGAGGACCATTGAATCGACAATGCGCAAAGCCAACGCCTACTTCGTCTTCTGCTTGAAACCAAATGACCGAAGGATCGCGAACCAGTTTGACAGCAAATGCGTCCGTCAACAAGTTCAGGCTCTGGGCATTGCCGAGATCAGCCAACGTCTTCGGGTCGCTGACTTCAGCATTTTCATGCCTTTCGCCGAGTTCCTTGGGCTTGCACAAACTGACCTTGCCATTGTTGGAAGCGACAAGGAGAAGGCTGAAATGGTTCTCGATCACAAGCCGTGGCGGGAGAACGAAGTTCGTGTGGGTGCCACTGGTGTCTTCCTGAGCGAGAAGTGCTGGCTCGAAATCGCCAACGTTTCAAACCTCGCTCCTTACGCTCGTGGGCCGACTGATTCCAACGACAATCTGCTTACACCTGATGCAAACCGATCGTACGGTGACGTGCGCGCTGGTCTCCTCTCACCCTCGCCTGGTGCTTTTTACGACGACAAGAGCGGTAACTACTTTGGCCAGAGGGATATCGATGCTCGCTCAGAGGCGCCATCGGGCATCACAAATGGCGACATGTTCCACGGCTTGGAACAGCCCAAGGCTATCGACGACGAGAAGGCTGCTGAAGCCAAGCTACAAGAGGTCGAGACCATTCCCACCTCAAGCAGTCGAAAGAGATGGGTGTTCATTGTCTACCTCTTGACATGGCTCATTCCCGACTTTGCTATTCGGTACATCGGACGTATCAAACGCAAAGACGTACGCATGGCGTGGCGAGAGAAGTTGGCTATTAACATGATCATTTGGTGGAGTTGTGCCTTCGTCATCTTCCTCATGATAGGCTTCCCCGCGGTCATCTGCCCGAAACAACACGTCTACTCTTCTGCCGAACTGACATCCTTCAACGGCAAGGATGGAAACGAGGCCTACGTTGCCATTCGCGGTATCGTCTATGACTTGGGAGAGTTCATCCCTCACCACTATCCGAGCATCGTTCCACAGAAGAACCTGGAGAAGTATGCTGGAAAGGATGCTACCAATCTGTTCCCCGTACAAGTCTCTTCTCTGTGCTTGGGCAAGGAAGGAAAGGGAATCAACCCAGCCGTTCAGCTGAACTACAAGAACTCCAACTACACCGACTCCGCCGTGAACAACCTCATCAGTACCACCGACATCAACGCGCAATACCACGACTTCCGATCCTTCACAAACGACAGTCGTGGGGATTGGTGGTTCGAGCAACAGATGTTCCTCAAGGCCAACTACATGAAGGGTCGTGTTGGATACAGCCCCGAATACCTGAAGACACTTGGAAACAAAGGCAACTCGATCGCTTACATGAATGGTCGTGTATACGATTTCACGGATTACATCCCTGGTGGTCGTGAGGTCAAGTTCAAGGTCGGCGAAGAGCCTGATGACAAGAACATTGATACTGATTTCATGGACCCAAGCGTTGTGGACATCTTCCGAGTTCAAGCCGGCAAAGACATCACCAAATACTGGCAGAACCTCCAGTTGAACGCGCAAACAAAGGCGAACATGGAGACCTGCATGAACAACCTGTTTTACGTCGGTGATCTGGACACCAGAAACTCGGCCAAATGTCTGTTCGCCAAGTACTTCCTCCTCGCAATCTCCATTCTCTTGGTCAGTGTCATCGGATTCAAGTTCCTTGCGGCCCTTCAGTTCAGCCGGAAGACCGACCCAGAGAACATCGACAAGTTCATCATCTGTACTGTGCCTGCCTACACCGAAGACGAAGAATCTCTCCGTCGCGCAATCGATTCCGCCGCCAGGATGAAGTATGATGACAAGCGCAAACTACTTGTCATTGTCTGCGATGGTATGATTATCGGTCAAGGCAACGACAAGCCCACTCCTCGCATCGTTCTCGACATTCTTGGTGTTCCCGAGGCTACCGATCCCGAGCCTCTCAGCTTTGAGAGTTTGGGTGAAGGTCAAAAGCAGCACAACATGGGCAAATGTTACTCGGGTCTCTATGAGGTACAGGGTCACATTGTGCCTTTCTTGGTCGTCGTCAAGATTGGCAAGCCTTCAGAAGTCTCCAAGCCTGGTAACCGCGGAAAGCGTGACTCGCAGATCATCCTCATGCGATTCCTGAACCGTGTGCACTACAACCTCCCCATGACACCGCTTGAGCTCGAAATGCACCATCAGATTCGGAACATTATTGGAGTCAACCCTACCTTCTACGAGTTCCTCCTCCAAATTGATGCCGATACCGAAGTCGCACCTGACGCCGCCACTCGATTCGTCGCAGCCTTCCTCCACGACACCCGCCTCCTTGCTATTTGTGGTGAAACCGCTCTTACCAACGCCAAGTCTTCGTTCGTTACCATGATGCAAGTTTACGAATACTTCATCTCCCACAACCTGACCAAGGCTTTCGAGAGCTTGTTCGGTTCCGTCACTTGTCTTCCTGGTTGTTTCACCATGTACCGCATTCGCGCTGCCGAGTCTGGAAAGCCACTGTTCGTTAGCAAGGAGGTCGTCGAAGCCTACCAAGAGATTCGTGTCGACACTCTACACACGAAGAACCTGTTGCATCTAGGAGAAGATCGCTTCTTGACCACGCTACTTCTCAAGTTCCATCCCAAGTACAAGACCAAGTACACGATGCGAGCACACGCCTGGACTGTCGCACCTGACAGCTGGTCCGTCTTCATGTCTCAACGTCGTCGCTGGATCAACTCCACTGTGCACAACTTGATTGAACTGATTCCGCTCACGCAGCTTTGTGGTTTCTGCTGCTTCAGTATGCGCTTCATCGTCTTCATGGATCTTCTTTCCACGGTTGTACAACCCGTCATTGTTGTCTACATCGGCTATCTCATCTACACGCTGGTGTGGTCCCCCGACATCGTCCCTGTCACTGCGTTTATTCTTCTTGGTGCCATCTATGGTCTGCAGGCTATCATCTTCATCATCCGACGCAAGTGGGAAATGATTGGTTGGATGATTATCTACATCTTCGCAACACCTGTCTTCGCCTTCGGCCTGCCTTTGTACTCGTTCTGGTACATGGACGACTTCTCGTGGGGTAACACTCGTGTCGTTGTTGGTGAAAAGGGTCAGAAGGTTCTTGTCACAGATGAAGGCAAGTTTGATCCTGCCAGCATCCCCAAGAAGAGGTGGGAGGAGTACCAGGCGGAGATGTGGGAGCAGCACACCATCCGGGATGACCGCTCCGAGGTGTCAGGATACACGTACGCCACCAGGAAGCCTTTCGGAGGCGGGTCTGTCGCTGGCTCAGAGTATGGAGGCATGACACCATCTCGCTCCGCGTCTCACCTTGGTCTCCCACGCTACGACAACCACTCACGATTGAGTCTTGCGCAGAGCGGATACGGTGCGGACAGCATGGAAATGTCGAACCTGCCAAGTGACGATGCCATCTTGATGGAGATCAAGGACATTCTATCCAAGTCTGATCTCATGAACGTCACGAAGAAACAGATCAAGGGCGAACTAGAGCAAAGGTATGTCAATCCCCATTTGTTTGCACAACCAACACTAACATCATCACAGATTCGGATGCGATCTCACGCTCAAGAAGCAATTCATCGGCTCAGCTGTCGAGTCACTGCTCATCAGCGGCCAGCTCTACTAAGCCGTTGTGCCTTTAGTTTGTCACGGCTTCGTTGATGCTTTATGACTCTACGTGTTGCCAAAAGATACCGCTTCGTTGCCAGTCACTCATACAGCCATGTCAGGCCTCAGCGCTTGGCTTTTATCGCTACTATTGTAATATCGACATTGCATTCTCTCATTGGGTCGGAGTTACAGACCCTGGTACGGCGTTGAATGTATTGGGATTAAATGGAGCAACACGTTTTGTGTTTTGTCGTCATTTGAGTGTTATTTGCGTCGGAAGGGAAAACATGGGTGTAGATTTGGGTTGTAGCATGAGAGAATAGCTATGAAGAATCGCATACAGATACACATCACACATTTCCCATGACTCATCCATTCATGCGCTTGTCCTTCTGATCACATGTTTCATCGGTCACGAGTAAAGCTTAAAAGAACAGATGAGTCAAGAGTCGTCATGCTACCAAAATCGAGCATGAAGAACGTCTGAAGATGATTCAGTGCAGGCGTCCATGGCAGTGATTGGTCCGAGCGCCTCCTACCCCTCCACAGCTAGCCGTTCGCCGCCCGCCGCCACACAGAACAATCGATAACTCGAACGGAATTTCGCAGCAGCCCGTGTGCGTTTGCATTTTCCTGTCACTCTTTTGCGGTCCAGGCCTTTGTTGGTTTACTCGGGACCCCTTCTCCTTCGGCTCCGCTTTTACCTGCTCCTGCCTGCACTGTGTGGCGCGCCTGCCTGCTTGAGCACTTGCGATTTCTACGGTGCATTCCCACAACCACAAGTGCCACCCGTCGAGTGCACCCCACACCCCAAGTAATACACCGCACACACAATGCCGCCCAAGAAGAAGAACAACAAGAAGGCGCAGGACGACGACTGGGAAGCCGAGCTCGGCGAGTCTGTCGCGCCCCAGGATGCCGCTGCAGCTGATGCCGCGCCTGAGGATGCTGCCGCCGAAGACGATGCTGCGGGTGGCGGCCTGATGGCGGCTCTTGCGAAGCGCGGCAAGAAGAAGAACAAGAAGGGCGCCAACACCGAAGTGGAAGGCGAAGACCCGCCTGTTGACGGCGCGAATGGAGACTTCGACGCCAAGGCACCCCAAGAAGGAACCTTCGACGACGATGACGATGATGTCTTTGCTGGAAACTACGGCAAGAAGAAGGGCAAGGGTGGCGCTGCTGCGAAAGCAGAGGAGCCTGTCGAGGAGAAGACGGACGATGCTCCTCGTGTAAAGACCAAGGCAGAGAAGGAGAAAGAAAAGAAGGAGAAGGAGAAGCAGCGAAAGAAGGAATTGGTATGTTCGCAGCATCTGCCATGTCCATTGCATGAGTGTGTACTGACCGCATGCTAGGCTGCGAAGAAGAAGGCCACTGGCCCTGCCAAAGCCGAGCCCGCGAAGGCTGCCGAAGCCAAGCCAGAAGCCGCTGCTGCACCCTCAGCTGCTACCGCCGACACCACCCCCGCTGCTGGTGGCAAGAAGAAGAAGCTCAACCCTGCGCTAGCTGCCCTTCAAAAACAACAGGAAGAGCGCAAGAGGAGGGAGGAAGAGATTGCGCGCGCAGAAGCCGAAGAGAGAGCTAGGCTGGAGGCGCTTGAGGCACAAGAGGCCGAGGAACAGAAGAAGAAAGAGGAGGCTAAGGCTCTGAAGAAGCAGCGCGAGAAGGAAAAGATCGAGCAGCTGAAGAAAGAGGGCAAGTACATGACAAAGGCTCAGAAAGAGGCCAAGGCAAAGAACGAACTCCGTCTGCAGCAGCTGCTTGAGCAAGGTGGCACAAAGGTTGCTGGACTTGCCGACGAGGCTGACAAGAAGAAGAAGCCAGTGTACGATGACCGCAAAAAAAAGAAGAAGAAGCAAGCCGAGACCCAACAGGAGAAGGAGGCTCGCGAAGCTGAGGAGGCCGCCAAGAAGCTGGAGGAACTCAAACTGGCCGAGGAGCAAGCCGCCGCTGCATCTGAGGCCGCAGAGAAGGCTAAACTTGACGCCGAAGCGAAGAAGGGCGAGGACGGTGACTCTGCCGACGACTGGGAAGCCCAAGCTGACGAGTTGGAGGGAGTCAAAGACAGCTGGGATGTCGATACCGACGAGGAAGAAGAGCGCAAAGCAAGCGAGAAGAAGGCCAAGGAAGAGAAGGCGGCAGCGGAGAAGTCTACAGCAGACGACGCCTCCAAGTCCAAGGATACCAGCTCAGACTCTGATTCCGAAGACGACAGCGAAGACGATTCATCCGAAGACGAGGAAGGCACTGCTACTCAGCGGGCCGAAGCCGCTCGTAAAGCTGCCGCCGCCGAAAGACGGAAGCAGGCTCACGAGGAGGCTCTTGCCGCGCGGTCAAAAGACAACCTGCGATCTCCCATTTGCTGTATTCTTGGTCACGTCGATACTGGTAAAACGAAGCTGCTCGACAAGATCCGTCAGACCAACGTGCAAGAAGGCGAGGCCGGAGGTATCACACAACAAATTGGTGCCACCTACTTCCCCGTCGAGGCACTTCAGAAGAAGGTTGCTGTCGTTAACAAGGACAACGAATTCGTCTTCAATGTCCCCGGTCTCCTAGTCATCGATACACCCGGTCACGAGTCTTTCACCAACCTCCGGTCCCGTGGTTCCTCACTTTGCAACATTGCCATCCTCGTCATTGATATTATGCACGGTCTTGAACCTCAAACTATCGAATCGATGAAGCTACTCCGAGACAGGCGCACACCTTTCATCGTCGCTCTCAACAAGATCGATCGTCTGTTCGGCTGGAAGAAGATCGATAACAACGGTTTCGAAGATAGTTTGAGCCTCCAAAAGGCCTCCGTTCAGTCCGAGTTTGAGGAGCGATGGACCTTTGTTCGCACCCAACTCCAAGAACAAGGTTTCAACTCGGAGATCTTCAACCGAAACAAGAGCATGTCCAAGTTCGTCTCCGTGTGCCCAACATCAGCGCATACCGGAGAAGGTATTCCAGACATGATCAAGCTCATCGTCAGACTCACGCAAGAGCGTCTGACTAACAACCTCATGTACCTTTCAGAGGTTGAGTGTACTGTGCTTGAAGTCAAGGTCATCGAAGGTCTCGGTACCACTATCGATGTCATCTTGTCCAACGGTGTCCTCCACGAAGGTGACCGGATAGTGCTATGCGGTAACCCAGAGCCTATAGTGACGAACATTCGAGCGCTGTTGACACCGGCTGAGATGAAGGAGTTGCGTGTCAAGTCGCAATACGTGCACAACAAGGAAGTCAAGGCTGCCATGGGTATCAAGATCGCCGCCGACGGTCTCGACCAAGCCATCGCAGGTTCGCGTCTGCTTGTCGTCGGTCCGAATGACGATGAGGAGGATCTCATGGACGAGGTCATGGGTGATCTAGCCCATTTGCTCAGCAAGGTCTCCAAGACTGGTCGTGGTGTCTCCGTACAAGCGTCTACCCTTGGTTCGCTCGAAGCTCTGCTTGAGTTCCTGCGTGTATCGAAGATCCCCGTCGCCACCATCTCTATCGGACCTGTCTTCAGAAAGGACGTTCTTCGAGCAGGTATCATGTTAGAAAAGGCCAAGGAATACGCCGTCATGCTGTGTTTTGACGTTAAAGTCGACAAGGACGCCAAGGCATACGCAGAGGAAATCGGTGTCAAGATCTTCGAAGCCGACATCATCTACCACTTGTTCGACAAGTTCACAGCGCACATGAAGCAGCTCGAGGAGCAGCGGAAGGAAGACTCAAAGATGTTGGCCGTCTTCCCCTGCGTACTCAAGCCCGTTGCTGTCTTCAACAAGAAGGATCCCATCATCATTGGTGTGGATGTCACAGAAGGCGCACTCCGAATGACGACGCCCATCTGCGCGGTCAAGAAGAACGCCACCACCGGTGCCAAAGAACTCGTCCATCTAGGAAGAGTGTAAGTTGTCCCATACCTTTCCCCTCCCTCCCCACATCACCTTACTAATCCTTTCAACAGCACGTCCATCGAGCGCGACCACAAACCCATGCAAATCTGCAAGCGAGGCCAGCCCTCCGTCGCCGTCAAGATCGAAGGCTCCAACCAGCCCATGTACGGTCGCCACTTGGAAGAAGACGATATCCTGTACTCTGCTATTAGCAGAAAGAGTATCGATACGCTCAAGGAGTACTTTAGGAGCGATGTTAGTCAGGATGAGTGGAAGTTGATTGTGCAGTTGAAGAATGTGCTTGATGTGCAGTAAAAGGTGGGCAGGCATGGAAGGGAGCTTAGGGGGATGTGATAGTGTGCAGAGGTGGTGGTGGTTAGATGGTGGTAGTGTATGATTTTAAAGTTTATTTAGTGTGTGTTTGACCACTGTCTTGTGGTTTCTTTTTTTCTTGCCTTTCCAGGCACGAGGCAATAGCATTTGTTTGGCGTTGTAGTGCAACATATTCATCTAAACTCTGCTTTTCGCAACTGGACTTTCCTCCTTGCATTCGAAGGTAGGATAACTTGATATGCTCACTCAGGCTCTCAACGCTATCCCGTAATTGACACCGTCAGCAAGCCTGCTGCGCGCATGGCGATTTGGCTTGGAAGACCTCCCTTCTCCGTGTCTTGTTTCTTAACCCTTTGGATGTGGCTATCTGACACTGATTCGTTCCGGTGCAGTCAAGGATGATCGCTCCAGGTGTTGCGCTCTGAATTCAACGCCCTGACCTCATGCTGAAGAGATGTCCGCTGGTATGCTCTCGATATCCTCCTTTCAACTTGCTCAAACTCCGATCATCCTCTTCGTCGTCGCTGGAAACTGGCTAGACCAACATGGGGCAGCGGTGCAGCATGCCAGATACCTCCACCGGAGCAGTTTGGACTGTGTGCTTGGGTCTGCATCGCTGTCGTAGGGAGACATGGCAACGATCGCAACGATTTTGTCGTACTCGGGAACTTGACGTCTTCAACAACTTTGATCTTCATCTGGGTTTTCGCGTCGACTTTGATAGATGAAGGGATGGGTTCGGTTGTCGATGATCTAGGCGACGCGTCCTTGGTGAGAGCTGGGAAGAGAGCACGCGCGATCTCGAGCGATAGGACTGAGGACATAATGAATAGGGAGCTCTTCTAAAGACGGCTTGTCGCGCAAGTCACGAATGCGCAAAGGTGGATTGAGGTTGAGTCGTTGCTATCGTTCAAGGATGTTGAATTTCATCACGACATGCACCAGCGCGAAGTTATACTTCATCGCGCCGTTCTCGTGCTGCTTGCGCAAGTTTGCGATTACGCAGGCGACGCAGTGGCTCAGTCATAGTTTTCGCAATCTTACCTTCATCCATCGTGAGCGTCGTGGTAGATGAGCCTCTACGGACGCGTGGGGGAGTGTTGGTGGTGTTGGTGTTTTGGCGCGATTGGCTGGGTCGGACCTGCGATTAGCGGGCGCAGTACTGCAGGATCAACCAGGAAGGATCGCCTCAGGCTCCAGCGATGTGTTTGGCAAAGGTTGTGAGCCTTTATTCCCTCCCTATCCTTCGCTCCCCACCCCCGGCGTAACTTTTCTTCTTGTTGCGATAGTCCGCGATTCTAGGTGGGTTGGGTGTGAACGCGTCTACGGGGCTCAGGCAGGATCACTTCGGCGAGGAGTCAGGGCTTCCAGCTCAGACCGCTGCAACATGCGCTGCTGATTCGCGACACGCTGTTCGAAACTATGCTGCAGATTTCATCAGAGCGCGACAAGAGCTAGGATCCCGGCCATGTACATGTCCTTCGTCATCGCGTTCCCAGCTGTCTGGAAACAACGAGATCTGCCTCGCCGCGTGCTCTTCGGCGACCGAAAAGGATAGCAACTCTCGACTATGTGAGCGCATTTCTCTACGCGCATCAAGAAGTTACCTGGTATTCTTGTGATCATTATGAGTAACTACAAAATGTTGAGATCGAAGAAAGGACGTCATCATGCTCGACTCGCCAGTGTAGCGCCCGGCACGGTCCCGAACTTTAGCTTCACACGATCCACAATTTCAGCCGCATCTTGATCTCGAACAAGCTCACCATGCCGATTCTTGGAAAGATCTGAGCCAGGATCGGCCATGTACAGTTTCGATACCTACCAATCCTGATCGTGGAACTCTTTGTCCATATCTGATCAACGCCAAACTAACACACAAGCGGCGATCATGCCGTCTGTTCAGAACATTTGCTTATCGGAATCTCATCGTGGTGGGTCATACTAAGATCGTGGCGCGAGCGCCTCTGTCATGTCCTGCGAAAGTTCTGTCGAAATTTTGCCAGCTGTTGCTTCCCAAGTTACAGTCTGGTGAAAAGCACACGGCATGGCGCTTCCGAATGCTTCACGACCCGTTTCCTGGTCGAATACTACAGCAGCATCGACAAGACCACCAAGTCCCGTCAACATCGAAAAGGACAATGACAAAAGTCGCCAGCCGTCGACCATAGCAGACTTCAATCCAGGCATCGACCCTGAGAAAGGCTTTCCACCGAATGCTGGCCAAGAAGCAACACCAAGCGCTCCTCATGCCTCATCGCAAGATCGTCCTTCCGCGCTGGAGTGGGACGGTTCAGACGATCCTCTGAACCCTCATAACTGGAGTGCAGCGCGAAAGTGGTATCAAACGTACACCATATCAGGCATCGCATTTGTAGGAACCTTCGCATCATCCGTCTTCACACCCGCCATCGAACAATCAGCATCAGAGCTCCACTCCACCCAGCTCATCGCAACCTTCGCATACTCCATATACGCCCTCGGGCTGGCCTTCGGCGGACCATTCGCCGCGCCTCTGAGCGAGACATTCGGACGACGACCCCTCATCTTCATCAGCCTGCCCATCTTCGCGCTCTTCATCCTCGGAACGGGTTTCGCGCAGAGTATGGCTAGTCTGGTGGTGCTGAGGTTTTGGGCTGGCTTCTTCGCTGCTCCCAGTCTGAGCATGGGATCAGGTACCTTGAGCGATATCTGGCCGCCTGAGAAGCGGTCTGGACCCATGTCGCTGTATGTCGCAACACCGTTCATGGGCCCAGCTTTAGGACCCATTCTAGGTGCTGCGGTGACACGGACACGTGGTTGGCGCTGGACGTCTTGGTTGATACTCTTCTTTACTATTGTGCTAGTCATTGCACCTGCACCGTTCTACAAGGAGTCGTATAAGCCCGTCCTCCTGCGTCAGCGCGCAAAGAAGCGAAATCTTCCTCTCCCGCGATCGCCGACTGAAGGCATGTCGTTGCCGAAGATTGTTAGTACATATGCGACCAAGACGCTTACTCGACCTATGCACATGCTCCTCACTGAGCCGATCGTGGCCACGTTCAATACGTACTCTGCTTTCAACTTCGGCTTACTATACGCCTTCTTCGCCGCTTTTCCATACGTCTTTGCGACAGAGTATGGCTTCGACAGTCTCTCCACAGGCTACACATTCCTGGGTTTGGGCGTTGGCGTTATCATTGCTACTATCTGTATCGTGTCTTTCAGTAAGCTTTACTACCTGCCTCGCGTACGCAAAGCGATTGCAGAGAAGATACCAGCACCAGCCTTCGCAACGTCGCGACTAGCACCTGAGAAGCGATTGCCTCTTGCATTCGCCGGCGGTCCTATTATTACTATTGGCCTCTTCCTCTTCGGATGGTCGGCCGCTTACCGCGTACATTGGATTGTACCGACCATCGCCGAAGCCTTCTTCGGAATGGGTAACATGCTCATTTTTATGGCGTGCATGATGTATATTACGGATACCTACGGACCATTGTACAGCGCCAGTGCCATGGCTTCGAACGCCATATTGCGATATGTACTTGGCGGAACCTTTCCTCTTTTCGCAGTCCAGATGTTTCGGCGGCTGGGTCCGCAGTGGGCGTGCACGTTGTTGGGTTGTTTGAGTATTCTGGGTGCGTGTATACCATTCGTGTTGGCGAGGTATGGCGAGACGTTGAGGAGTAGGAGTGGGTACAAGAGGAGCGGTTAGGCAGACGACATGCAGCGCAATACTTGAATATAACCTTGCATTTTCCTGGCAATTCAATCGAGAATCGATATGCGTTACATTCGCGCGATACCAAGACGTTCGCCGGACGGAAGCGTCCTAGGTTTGGTCTTTAAGTCTTGTCAGATCGTTTGGAACCATGGGACACTGTCTCGGTAGTTTCGGCGCAATGATGCCGCGAGACAAACTACGTACCCCGAGCGTAAGAACACATGTGTACCCGTACATCGATACTCAAAACAACCCCATATCATTCCAAAGCAACGATGTCTTCCTCAAACCCTCTCAATGCAGACTACGCATGGCCGCTGTACGATGATGAGCCCATCGAAGGAGCCTTCGCACTCGACACCGCCAATGGCATCGACGAGGCCGTCGCAACAAGCGTCACACGTCCCTGGCTCTTCGCCTTTAAGCCCACCACGTCTACACCAAACGGACGAAATATCCTTATTCTAGGTGGAGGAGGATACGTCGAGCTCATGGTGGGAAGAGAAGGTGTGCAGGTAGCGAGGTGGCTAGCAGGGCTAGGATTTTATGTCTTCGTGCTCATACATCGTTTTCCGAATAAAGAGACGGGCAGTCAGGCGCCAGTAGACGATGCCAGGCGGGCTCTTGAAATGTTTGACGAGAAGGGCTTTGCAAAAGGTCGTAAGGCTGTATGCGGTCTCTCATCTGGTGGTCATCTCGCTGCATCGCTACTCTCGACGTATCCTACCTGTTGGAGCAACCCGAATGCGGAAAGTGGTGTTCCATACCTCGAATTCGCTATTATTGGCTATGCGCCTATCTCGACGAATGCAAAAGGACGCCAGATCATTGCGAACAAGCCAGCGCTGGAGCCGCCAGAGAAACAGGCGCTTTACGATACGGTGCAGCCAGACGTACAGTTGGAGAGCAGAGTTCCGCCAACCTTCATAGTGTATGCTGGGAATGATCCGGTCGTGCCGGTGGTGAATGCATATAGGCTCGCTGAAGGCATCATGAAAGCTGGTGCCCCTGTAGAGCTTCACGTCTTCTCGGATGCACCGCATGGGTTCGCGCTGGATACGCCAGGCCTTCCGGTGAGCGATTGGCCGAGCATGTGTGAGAAGTGGATGAAACAGAATGGCTTTATAGACTAGCAGCAGGGATTTATGGTATAAGACTTATACCGAGAGCAAAGCTCATATACAAGCACAGCAAAGACAAAGAAACATGACCATTTACAATACATTCAACGGTGTTCAGTCCCCTGTATGCCCACATGGAAAGAATGAGTATATGAAAGATTTCCAACCCCGCCACGGAAGGGGCCTGGCAGCAGTGTAAGCTAGTCACAGAGGGCATCAGCCGTAGTGGAATTCGGAAGTTGTAAAGGCTTCGTCGTAGTCGTGGAATGCAGCGCAAATCTCATGATAGCCGTGCAACTGCGCCATCGCAAAGATGCTCCATACACTTGAAAAGCCTAGCGCTGTTGCGCTAGGCATCAATAGCAGTTTGACGCATTCCCGATGCCTTGCAGAAGCTGCGAGGAATAATGGAGTACACCCCTCAATTGTCGAAAGAGAAACGTCTACTCTGTTCCTAAGACGTTCCACCACTTCTGAATGGCCTTTGTATGCTGCAATGGCAAGTGGAGTAAAGCCATCGTTATCCTTTCGGTTAAAGAACACTGGCTGTTTCAACAGGAGCTCCACAGTGGATACATGCCCACTGCTTGCCGCGTGCCAGAGAGGGCTGCGTTCATTGAGGTCAACCCGATCGCAGAAGTAATTACTCTCCAACAGGTAGTTGATGACGTTTCCGTGTCCTCGCATGGCAGCTAGACCGATGGCATTGCAGAGATTGCCCTCCTCTAAGGCTGTAATATTGGGATATGTATCTCGATAGTTTCGGAAGAATTTGACGATGCGATCGTGCCCGAAGAAAACAGCCCACATCATTGGTGACCGACGCATGGTTCCCAAGCTGCTGTCATATCGGCTGTCTACGCTCGAGAAGGGTTCCGAAGCGGAGCTAGTCCTGCGAGAGTCGGTCTCCATCTTCCAGATAGTTGTACAAATCCTTAAATCTCCAGAGATGGCTGCTATATCCAACGGATATAAACCATTCATAGCTTGCGCGTTAGGAACGTGAGCTTCAATGAGTTGTTCCACACGCTTATGGTTTCTTCCACGACAAGCAAGATATAGACTCGTGCGTCCAAGACTATCGATGGTGTACATGTCGCCGGGAAGCCATTCTTTCAGGCTGTTGGCGTCATGTAGTATGTGTGATACAGACCTACCAAGGCAATCAGGAGCATTGCGTCGGGACAGTCTTGCAGCGACTCCAGGAATGCTAGCGAACGCGCAAGGCACGAAAAACTGCGAAGATTTCAAAGCACTCGGCACTTGCAGTGGCGTTCGGCTGAGAAGGTCGTCAGCTGCGGCCAGGAACTTTTCTCTGTATAGCAAGAAAGATTCAACGTCATCCCTCAGCAAATGAGGCTGATCGCGGAACAGCTTCGTCTGGAGCGCGTGGGTAAGACCAGGGTATTCAGCAGTGTCCCATGAAGTAGTCTTGTGACGCTCAATCTCCAATAAAACTTGATGCTCTGTCCATAGCCCGGATTTGGCAAATCTTGTATTCTTCAGGGCAGATTGAGCCAGAGAGACACCAAGTCCAGCTCCCGATTCGAGTGCGCAAGATTCAAGTTCGTCGGCAAAAGAGCGCAGATTGTTCACAAGCAACTGTACTTGCGGCATACTGTCTCTCGGATCTGAGTATCGCGTATCGTGTATGAATGGCGTAATCATTTGGGTGGCTATTGTGATAAGCTCTTCAATAGCCATGCTGACAACCTCGGCGACTGACAGAAGCAGTACACTACAGATAATTAGTTGCCTAAGAAACAACGTGAACGAGCTTGCATGACATACGCCTCTCGGGTCTTGAATGCTGTCACATCTGCTTGAGAAAGTCGGGTATCTGGTCCATGATAGGAGCCTCCACTAGAATCATCCCTGGAAGCCAATCGGCGTAATCCGAGAGCATGGTTCGAGGTGGACCCGACAGGAACAGCTCGTGGTTGTTTGTGTGAACCGGGCGGTCGCGGTTCTGAACACTGATGTCCCATATTGTTACATCGATCGCATCTTTCCGGCCATGTGCGGCCCAGAGGGAGACACTACAAAGATTACGTCAGCGATAATGTGAAACTGCTTACCGATTGCTTACTTTCTGCTTGTCTGTGCGACACCTGCCACATTTTAGTGAGACGCGAGCCGCTGCAGGCATGACGCTGCGTATCCTTGGTCGAAAGAACACTGTATGAGCTCTTGCAAAATATTGGCCATTCTGTACGGTTTAAATGCGATCAAGTTTTCCTTGGGATCCAGATACATCGGTATCAGTATGTGTGTCTCGCGTCCCTCTATGCACGTATCAACCAATCGAGTCCTATCGCATGGTCGCCAACCAATGGCGCATGTTGCGCGGATGCAGGTACTGTTCCCCGCGGTCGCCATGCATCGGCTAGTGGTACAGGAAGAAGTAGCGGTCGAAAGAACTTTGGTCAACGAATGGCGCATCGTTGCTGTTAGGTAGAGCTTCTCATATGGCGAGTTTAGAACTACCTCAAAAATAACGATATTCCCGCTGGCGCGGGCATCCAATTGCGCACCGTGGAACGACGCTACGCATCCGCGACCTGCGACGGGCAGCATGGAATTAAGAAATGTTCTGTCGCCTCACAACATGGTCATCCAATAGCGCACTGGAGCCTTCGCCTCTGAACAACTTCCGCCTCTGTCGCAACTTCGTGGATATAGCAAGTTCCGCATGCCGCAGAAATACGGCGCCTTATGCTGCACCTAAGACAAAATAGTCGAGATGAGGATACGCGAGTATCGACTCTGACGAACGTATAAATATTTGTCCCGATAGAAGGAAAAGTTCATTTCAGCTGTCTTGCGTCCACTTCGAGGACGTTTCATCAACAGCCTCTCACTTTCAGTCTCAACAGTGTGGTAAAATCCGAGTCTTACCTTTGAGCTGAATTCGTACGAGTTGTCCGCTCTGCGTTGTTACATCACATGTGCTGATGTATACAGTCGTTAAGCCTCGAAGCCAGGTATCCGGCGCCATGGACATCTCATTACGATCCGAGCCAATGTCGACGCAGCTTAGTTTCAATGTCATCGGAACATATCTAGCAGCTGTGACTGCGGTCATAGGAATCCTTGCTCTTGCGAATACTGTTCTACGCCAACGCCGGCGCACTGTGTCGACTGACGCATACGAACTTGATGCTACGCCGGTATAATCTGTGAGTGGTAGAGGAGAGACATGACGTCGAAGCCGACTAATGTCCCAGGCTTAGATGCTATTGTCAGCGGCAGTAATTGGGCGCAGCACGTGGTAGGATGCCCAAGCAACACGGACGCGGCGACGAAGAACTGTCGTCAAATTTCGGACGCACTGGTCGGAAAGGGGGCATCTAGCAGGCGATTTTTTGTTACAATGTAATATTAGAGAATGTTTACACAGAGAGACTCATATGATCTTGCATCTTGAGACAAGGCCGGGTCTGCTGTATGCCTGCTTGAGATGACAGCCTGATGCGGATCAGGCTGAAACGGGTGAGTCGGCAAAGAAGCAGCAAGCCAGGTCAGTGGGTTCAAGCGACATACGTCACATGTAGTATGGAGTCGATGGTTGCGGTACTCGCGTGCATGACCAAATATCAAATGGGATATGATGTGGCTGTGAGGCGTGTGGCGAGTAAAAATGTTAAGGTGGCGGGAGGTGATCAGGTCTGGGCAGGAACCGACACCTAGCGCAGAAGCCGGGCAGGGTGACGTACCCACCTTTCGGTCGCGCCTGCCCGCGCCTAGAGGCAGCATCCCTCGCGCCTCGACTCCCGCCATGAGCCAACACGCAATATTGCTCCTTGATACTTCAGACGACCGCCGGAATAATGGTGCGCACAACAGAAAGACGACACCATGGAAGATCGAACTGACCATCGCAGGCGTCGCTTTTGCGGCAACTCGTAGCCGGCCCTCGCGCCAGGCATGCTGAAGCTGGCCTCGACCTGTGCTATGTGACCGACAACAGTACGGTCGCCCCAAGAAGGTTTCCAGTGTCTTCCCTCTGACAGCGTCTAGTAATCGCTACTTCGGGCCCTAGTGGCACCTACCCGCAGCGCGCCTATCGCAACCCGCTTGACTCGCTCGTAAAGTTTCTCGACTCGAAACACGGCGACGATTGGGCCATATGGGAGTTTCGCGCTGAAGGGACGGGCTACCCCGACTCGGAGGTCTACGGTCGCGTCTACCATTATCCCTTCCCCGATCACCACCCGCCGCCTTTCGCCCTGATACCGAACATCATGGCCAGCATGCGCAACTGGCTTCATGAGAAGGAGGGGCGGGTCGTCGTCGTACATTGCAAGGCCGGGAAAGGGCGATCGGGAACTGCTAGTTGCAGTTACCTCATCAGCGAGGAAGGCTGGCCGGTGCACAAGGCTCTGGATCGCTTCACCGAGCGGCGCATGCGACCCAACATGGGCAAAGGCGTCAGCATCCCCAGCCAACTCCGATGGATAGACTACGTGGATCGCTGGGCCAAGCACGGCAAGTTGTATGTCGAGCGGCAGGTCGAAATACTTGAGGTGCACTGCTGGGGTCTCAGAGACGGTGTCAAGATCCAGATCGAGGGCTTCGTCGAGGATGGCAAGCTCATCAAGAACTTCCACACCTTCACCCGCGACGAGAGGGAGATTGTGCGGGGCGAAGTCAAGACTACCGGCATGGCACAGGCAGTGCAGGAGGTCATGTACAAGAACGGCTTCGGCCCATCCAAGACGAGCGAAGGTCCCAAGAATGGCTCCACTTCCTCCCTCGAGCAGCAGCAGCAGACCAATGTCGATGGCGCCACGGCCGAGCCAAGATCATCGCGCGAGAGCCTACCCACAGGCACAGGCGACGTTGTTTTCCGACCTTCCAAGCGCGTAGTCCTGCCCACCAACGACATCAACATTGACGTCGAGCGTCGTAACAAAGCCGCCTTCGATCTGACCATGGTCACAGCTGTCGCACACGTGTGGTTCAACACATACTTCGAAGGAAACGGTCCTGAGCAGAACGGCAATGTCGAC